AATTTTTATGGCTGATGCTCAGAAACGAGATGTTGTTAGTATCAGTCGTGAGAGCCTAGATTCAGCTATCCATGAGTATCAACGTGTTGGACTGCTTCCCCATCCAAAGAAAACTTTTGTTGAAGAACCTGTTGGAGAATTTTGGGGTTGTCAATTTGACGGAGTCTCTGGAAGTGTTCAAGCAAATTTGAAACGTGTAATCCCTGTTATTGCCGTTACAAAGAGGGTTATTTGCATGGGTGTTTGCACTATTGGTTTGCTTGAGATTTTAGTTGGATCTTGGACAGCCATTTGCCTGTTCAGAAGACGGCTGCTATCCATTTTCAATGTAGTCTACGCAGCCGCCGACTGTGGAGAGAGACAGCGTGAACATGTCCTGCGACTGTCTCCAGAGCTGAAAGAAGAGCTGATGTTATTAGCTGGCTTAGCTCCCTTAGCCGTGACGTTGCTTCGGGTGGCGAACTCTGACCAGTTATTTTGTTCGGATGCCTCAGATTGGGGCATTGGAGTGACTTCAGCTCAGTTGGGTACAGTCCTGAAGAAAGAGATTCACCGGCATAAGCTGAAAAAGGGAGTTTGGGCAAAGTTGCTTAGTCCTCTGCGTGCTTTGTCGCGGATAAAAGGTACCTTGCTTGTTGATGATGAACTTCCTGAAGGTGCTCAGCTTGCCAGTCACCCTCTTTGGATTGAGCTGGCGTCTGCATTGCCTTTTAAAGAAGTCTGCCGTCAGAAGACCAGAGAGGGTCTCCATATTAACATTCTAGAGCTGCGTGCAATGTTGAGAGTTGAAAGAGAGGCTGCTTTGAGTCAGTTTCCGTTGCGGTATTTTAGCTTAGCCGATTCTCAAGTGGCTTTGGGTGTTTGGACAAAAGGCCGGTCTTCATCGGTTGGTTTGAATCAGGAACTTCAACAGTCATTAGGCGTTCATTTGGGATGTGGCATGCATGGCAATGCTGGTTTTATTCCCACTGAAGTGAACAGTGCCGATGATCCCACCAGAGGAGCAGAAGTGCGTGGACCTCAGAAAAGCCTGCATTCAGCGATTGCAGGTCTTGAAGATGGAAAGTTTGCAGAGTTTGACAAATGGCTTGAAAAATACGGTGCCAGTCCATATCAATGCAGTGGACTTCCAGACCTTGCCGAATTGTCTGGAGCAAGCAAAGCACCTTTGAAGCGTAAAGAAATGAAAATAAAGAGGCATCAGCAGTACAGGGCAGCTCAAAAAGTTCTCCGCAGGCAGAAGGGCCCCGAGCTTACTCCGACCAAGCCTAGCAGACCAGAACCTTTGCCTAGTTCTTCTTCGTCAGCACAGCGACTCAAGTCGACTGTGGTATTGGGTCGGGGTTCTGAGAAGGCTGACTTGGTCGATGCTGTGAGCCTGCCCCGATGTTCTGCGTTGAGTGCAAGAGCCTTAACCCTGCTGTCGAAGGTGCCCCGCCGACAATTTGTTTTGCCGGTAAGCTGGAAGCGGATCGATGCGTGGCAGCCCACCTGTCCAGGTTTTCTGGATCTTTATTCTGGCAAAAAGGGCGTTGCAAAAGAGTTGGCGGAGAAAGGGAAAACTTGGGTCATCACTTTTGAGTTGGAAGACAGTGCGGATCAAGATGTTTTGATGGAAAAGAACAAGGCTTTGATTCGGGAACTCCTGGAATCTGGTTGCATTCTTGGTCTGGGCATTGCCATCTTCTGCTCATCTTTCAGCCGAGCAGTGCGGCCCCCTGTCAGGTCAAGTGCCGAGCCCTATGGATTGGCAAACCTCAGTGGGAAGATGCTGGAGAAAGTGTTGTTGGGCAACGCTCACGCTATCTGGGCGAGCAGTCTCATTCAGCTTTGCCGCGAGCTGAAGATTCATTACTGGGTCGAAAATCCTGACGGCAGTTTTCTCTGGTTGTTACCGGAGTTTTTACAACTGGGTTCAAATCAGAGCGAACAATTGTGTCGTCTGGATTATTGTAATTTTGGTACAGTTTGGCGAAAGCGTACTAGATTTTTGACCAGCTGTCATTTGGCTGGCCAGGTTTGGTGGTGCTCCAGGGATCACAGGCATGTCCATTTGAAAGGTTGGAACAAGCAGAAACATTGTGCCTGGACTCGTTTTGCCCAAACTTATCCAAGGGCCTTGTGCAAAATTCTGGCGACAGCGTTGTTGATAGACTGCGGTCTGCTGCCTAACAGGAGGCATGTCTTACTTTCTTCCATCAGCAGGTGTCAGCACTGCCGTATTGGCGAAGCAAAGAACCCCGGCCCTCGGCGGGTTTTAGCTCAGCAGCGTGACGTTGAGCAGCTGAGGAATTTCACATTGGTAAATGAAGGTACTGCCAGTTTAGGGAACCAAGTTTGGAAGTCCTTTCAACGTTGGCTTGCAAGTGAATTTTCAAGTGCGGCGGTTTCCAGTTTGCAGAGGTCTGGAGAAGTGCTTGGTTTACTTGTAGTTGAATTTGGTAGGTATCTGTATGCGAGTGGTCAAAGCATCTATCTAATGAGGCAGCTGGTGACTCATATACAACGAGTGGATCCTCCTAAACGTCCTCACTTGTATGAAGCTTGGCGTCTTATTTCAAAATGGGAATCCCTTGAACCAACTGTGCATCGCACTCCAATGCCCTTCGTGATCTACCGGGCTATGGTAAGCAGTGCGCTGGCTTTTGGTTGGAGACGCGTAGCTGGAGTTATTGTTCTGACCTTTGAAGCTATTTGCAGACCTGGAGAGGTTCTCAAAGCCACAAGGAGTGATCTTTTGCTTCCTTGTGACTTGATTGCCGAAGACCCAGGCCGTATCTTCCTCAGAATTTCAAATCCAAAGAGTAAGAGGAGGGGACTCGGCACCACCCAGCACGCCAAGGTTCAGAATATGGCAGTCGCGAACTTCTTACAAGAAATTTTTGGTCATCTTGATCCTCAGCTTCCACTTTACCCAGCTTCTGCCACCACTTTCAGGAAACGATGGAACCTGTTGTTAGAAACTCTTCACATTCCCATCACTGTAGGATTAACACCTGCATCCCTGAGAGCCGGCGGAGCAGTGAAAGCATATCGATCTGATGATGATATCACCAAGTTGTTGTGGAAGATGCGTCTAAAGAACCTTGAGACGTTGCAGCACTATTTACAAGAAGTTGGTGCCGAATCTGCCTTCTTGCAGCTCCCCAACAGGTCCAAGTCTGCCATTTTGGCAGCCAGTGCAATGTTTGAGGCCTACCTCCAGCATTTTTCCTCTGACGGGAGCCGTGGTTAAACGACTGCGGCCATTGTTTGTTGCTCAGTCCGGGCAAACCCGTAGCTGGCACATGCTCAAAGGCGGACAGCTCATGGCACCAATCTTCTGAGAGTTTTTCTGATCCTATGCCTATTTCCACCAGTGTCAAGGTCTATTCATTCCCATTGCAGGCATGTTACTTCTCCTGTATCCTGCCGTGCTCATGGTCTGGACTTCAAGCACCTTAAGATTTGGCCATTTGGTTGATCAGAAACGAAGCTCCGATTTGTGTTGGCGCCCTTCGCTAGAGCATCTACAGCATGGCTGGCAGAAGAGAGAAAAAGTGCAGAGTGCCGACCAAACATGGTTCCCATGTTTTGTCAAACGGCGCAGCGTTCTGGGCCCACCCTCAGGCCACCCAGGACAGCTCATGGCACCAATCTTCTGAGAGTTTTTCTGATCCTATGCCTATTTCCACCAGTGTCAAGGTCTATTCATTCCCATTGCAGGCATGTTACTTCTCCTGTATCCTGCCGCGCTCATGGCGTGGACTTCAAGCACCTTAAGATTTGGCCATTTGGTTGATCAGAAACGAAGCTCCGATTTGTGTTGGCGCCCTTCGCTAGAGCATCTACAGCATGGCTGGCAGAAGAGAGAAAAAGTGCAGAGTGCCGACCAAACATGACTATATAACATCAGCCCAGCAACGCAGTATTTGTTCTGGCTTCTGCGGGTTCTGGCTGCGGCTTCTGGCTTCTAGCTTCTGGCTGCGTTTCTTTCTATGTTTTAAACATGTGTCTATGAGTTTTCTTAAATTCCCATAAGTTTTTTCTTAATGTTGGCATGAATTTTCCGCATGTTTTCATAAGTTGTCATCATTTTTCCATGGGTTGTCTTCTTCATTTTTGCACGGTGCTCTTCATGTTTCCACTGATTGCTTTGACTTTTATTTTATGCCTTCTCATTTTAATATCTAGGCGCTGCGCCCTCCCCCCGCGCCCCCCACCCGCTTTTCTTTAAAAACCCGACCCTCCCCTTGCTGGGAAGTCGACGACGACGACGACGACGACCACAACCACAACCACAACCACAACCACAACCACAACCACAACCACAACCACAACCACAACCACAACCACAACCACAACCACAACCACAACCACAACCACAACCAGCACCACAACCGCAACAATTATTAAAATATAGATAGATCGATAGACAGAGGAATAACTGCGATAGAAATAGAACAACAACAGCAACAACAACAAGAAGAACAACAAGAACAAAGTAACAAGACCCATATACTCAACAATTATTGAAAAGAGCCCTCCTCCCGCGGATGAACAACGCTAGAAAAGCAACGACAAATATAGAAAAACATAGAAAAAACAATGCAAAAGCGAAGAAAAACAAAAAAAACCATCGAAAAACTGAGGGAAACGCTAGACAATTTTTGAAAACTATGGAAAACTGATGGAACGCGCTAGAAAATCATAGCGAACTATGGAAAATGGAGGAAAAACGCTGGAAAACTAGCGAAAACAATTGGAAATTGATGAAAACTGCTGGAAAAACAATGAAAAAGCAAGGAACCCAACCCCGAACCAAAAAAAAAATCAAAAAAAAATGTCAACTGAATTCCGCGCCCATTTTGATTTCTTGTGATGTGTTTCAATCTATTTCGCGTCATTGGCCTATGACTTCCATTGCTGCGCAAAGTGTCAAGCAGCATGCGGGTAAGCAAATTGCTGAACAGTAGCGAACTCATTTGATGTTCGGTCACTTCTTTTCCTCCTTCACTGAGGACTTCCGCAACTGGGCCGTGAAAGAGTTTGGGAGTGTAAAGTCCATGTTCACTGCTTCGCCCTCAGTCGAATCTTCATTGCTCCGTTACTGTTTTGGGCTCTTGAACTTGCCAACTTGATATGCTGCCCAAATGATATAGTCCGTTCAGTATTAGCCCGATTTTGTTGGCTATATGGCCTCTCTTCCGAACTTCCTTCCCATATTCAACGTCGGTAAAGAGGTAGGCTTTAGGCCCGTCATTTTATCCTCTTTGCTTTTGCCTGAGGTCTTTGACGAAGACAACTCCAAGTCTTTGTCCTTAAAAGAGTTCAAACGTGCCTGTCGAATCTATGGTTTTCGGGGGCATTTGACGCTTAGCTGAGCGATTTGCACAGGCGTTTTTGTGTTGGGGAGTGTTTGCTTGCCGTGCCAGCCGCTTAGGAAGTCACTCTTCAACATTCTGGAGTCAACGGGGTCAGGTGGACTCACAGTGGAGGCTTGAAAGAGGGAGTTCTGTGACATCTGTGACGTGTCAATAGGTCACTATCTGGCGACGTGCTCGGCCTGTTCTCGTTTCTCAGCATTGTTTTTCTTCAAGCAATTGGCCAGGGTCTAGCGGTGCAGTCAGAGTGAATTACAGAGAACTGTATCAGCTTTCTGGTTCACCATCATTCAGCTATGATTGATGCATCACATAATGATACCATAATATATGTTGCGGTTATCGTATATAGTAGGCTGAAAAGCCGCCATTTTGAAGCGAAGTCGCAAACCTCGAACGACTCCACAGAGTTTGCCACAGCTATCGGCCCACGCAGGAAGTGGTTTTTCTGGACCGCTGGGCAAATCTGACCGTGGAGGAACCTTGGAACGCAGGTCTATCGCTATCCAGACAATGATTCTGTAGGGAAAAGGCGGGCTGTGGATTCTTGAAAATGGCAACCAAATGGCAACCAATCTCTTTTGATCTCTTTTGAACGTTGCACTGCAAGATATGCCAGTGATTTATTAGATCAAGTGACTTCTTTTTAATGACGTGTTCCTGATTTGTAATATGTGCAACGTGCATCCTGCAACCTCCAAAGTGAGAGATAAAGCCTTACCCCGTCCATGTCTTCGAATATTTTCGCGCATCATGTTTCATCATACATCATCACACGACATGTGCAACCTGCTGCGTCACAGATCTCTTACAAGTTCAAGCACTGAGGCCGTGGATGACAGCAAGAACGACACCATGACAGGCTTACCGAGCATTCCAGATTTCCCTGAGCCTGGGGGTGAGATCGCCAATTTGGGAGGTGTGGAGCCTAGAGGCCTAGAGTCAGTGTCGATGAAGAGTAGCACTCTGGTATGCTGTCGTGAATCAACAGCCGTTGAAGCTGGGCGATTGCTCACCATAGCTTAGGTTTCGCAGTTTATACAACTCTTTTCCTGTGAATTGGCTCAAGAACTCCCTTGTTCAATTTTGATCATGACCACTGGGGGACACGGGGACGACAGTGACAGCTCTATTGCCGCGCCGAGCTTGGCAGAACAGCTGCGGAAACTTTCGGATCAGCTGGAACAAGGCGTCATCAGCTGTGAAGCCTTGTACGCAGCACAGCAGGCCCTCTCGATTTGCTGGGAACATCGTCGCCTTCCAAGCAGTTGTGTTGAGTTAAAAGACCTCCTGCAACGGCCACCCATTCACGAGGAAGCAGAGGTCAAACTCTTGAAGCCAAACGATGAAAGTACCATCGTGGGGTTCATCTTATGTCGTGGTGTTGCCAACGCGGTGGTAAAATATCGTGGTGATGTGCCCTTCAAGGCAACCAGGGAAGAGTCGCATTTCTTTCTGGCTGATCTCATGGGCATGGGTCATGTGGTGGCGCCATGCATTGCAGTGGACCTGAATCTCTTGGGCACGGAGCTTGCACCTCCACAGACTATCCTTGAGTTGGCTGGCTGCACTCTGTTATGCTAGCTTCAGCTAAAACATTCCGAAATCTTCCAAAATCTTCTATATAATTGTTCCATGTTTTCCCTAGTGTGTTCCTTGATGTTCCTCGCGTTTGTTGGCTTTCTCGCGGTTGAACCTGCAGGTTGTTGAGGCAGCATACACACTTGTGGCAATCAGGGCAGGAAGAGCATACAAGCACAACTTGGCCGACCAACACATGGGTCACGATCGAGCAGTGCATCCACGTCAATGGCAAGGCCAGCAAGGCGGCCAATGGAATCAACGGATCGATGAAATCATTTGGGAATAGCACCAACCAGGGCTCTAAAGCTGCCGCTCGCTTGGCAAATTTCTTCGGATGCATAGATCTGCTGCAGGCCTACGCAGCCACCCCTGATGGCAAGGAATGTGGAGAAGCTGCTCTTATGAGGGATTGGTACAGGGAAGAGCCTGGCCTGGTGCAGGATGTTTCAGACATTTTCTGATGGCCTTTCTTTTTCAATCTGTTTAAATGTGTGTAATATGTTTCCCGGTTTTCTTGGGTGAGTGGGTCTACTTACTGTCGCTATTGTGATTATTTGTTATGTTTGTTGTTGCGCTCAGGGATGTTGACGGGTTGACGTTCCTTGTGTTTTGCTATTGAGTCGCAGCTGGGCTTGTACATGTGCAGCAGTTGGGATAGGAAAGGAGGATAAAGGAGGACAATCCCAAAACATCAGCTAGCAAGCGCCGGAAAGGGAAGGTTGATTGGCAGATTGGCATGGCATACGAACCTCATCGCACCTCCTTTCTGTTCTTCCCTCAGAACGGTTTGGTGAAAGAAGGAAGTAGCAATCAGTTGAAGCCTCAGCCCCAGTGGCATTTGGCGTGTTTTGGATCATGTTGGTGCTGTTCGTGCTTCCATATTTTGGTTTCTTCAGTGCCTGTTGTACCAAAGGAAGCTACGGATGCTGATTTCTTTGAAGTGATATCCAAACTGGATGTGCGAAATGTCCATGAACTTTGCGCGCTGGCCTGTGTGACTCTACAGCGTGATGGCGGGCCATCAAACCTGATGCTGCAACAAGGGGAGTCTTGCCTAAAGTACTAAAGTTTTATCCAGCAATGTTTAATGTTTCTGATCGGAGATGTCATGTGGATCGTAATGAACGTTAGGAAGAAATGGACTTGCTGCGTCTCTGCACCTTCAAAGATGGTTCAGTGCCAGCACCGTCACACTGTACTGTAGATACTTGATGATACTTGTAGATGCTGTATAGATTCATCTAGAGTGTGGGTTGAAGATCTTCATGCTGACAATCAAAATCATCCAGCATCAACCGAGGACTCTGAATCTTTCAGGCTTGTCAGTATTGATGGAACGCGCGTTTTGGGAGCATTTCCATCTGAAAGCTTGGAGTTGTTTGACAAAACGGCGGCTAAGTCTGTGATGGCAAGTGTTTTTGTAGTTTTTGCAATGTTTTTTGTGATGGTTTATTTGTTCGTGTGAAGTGGTTTAAAATTCTCGTGGACGTTTGGGGATATTTGGTTCCAGCCATTGAAATTGTGTGTGTGTGAGTCAAACCCTGTTCCAAAGGGCTGTTCGTTTTTTGCGTTTTGCGTTTTTGCGCGATTTTCTCAGTCAAATCATCAAAACAGGGGGACTGCCTGACTTGTAACAGTGGCAGTCCAACGAAGTGGCTGTTACAAGTCACAGAAATGGATTCCGGACGCAGAATCCACGTACCTGTTTTGAAGTGTAGAATTCCCTTTTCAATTTGCAAAGAACTAAGTGAGTTCCTGTTATCATGGCAAGTTGGCCAAGCCAAAAACCACCCACGTCGATCACGGCATTATAAGGCCTTCCAGGGAATTTTCCCATTACTCAAAAGAGTTCTCAAAAACCAACGACGACATGCGGTCTTGCAAGTGTGTTTCGGCCGCGGTTCCGTCATGGTCCGGTCGTGATCCTGGTCCTACCGGCTACTGAAGTCCTCCAGTTGATTGACCTGTTCGCAGGTTCTGAGGCTCTTTCCGTGAATTGTGTCTGTCCCTGTCAGGCTCTAGCAACAGCGCAAGTGTGTTCATCTTCTGTGTGTCAGAAGCGTTGATCCATTGAAAACTTTCTTTTGGATAAGGTGCAATATCTAGTCCTGCCTTTGAAGTGACGTGAATGGCCCCATGTTGCATTTGAAAACTTCGGGTGCTTTGCCACCCATGAAATGCCCGGCGTATTGATTGCCATTTTTTTGGCCTCTGATTGAACCACCTGTTAATTGGATTGTGAATTCATTTTTTCATTTTTCACTCAGTAGTGCTTTTTCATTGTTCACTCGGTAGTGCTTCGTTCAACTCGAGCCTACAACGTCAAGTCCATCAAAGTTGCCAACCTCTTCATCATTATGAAGGTTCTGGTGCTCGTCTGTCCCTGTCAGGTCCATCAAAGTTGACGACCTCTTCATCACCATTGTGAAAGCCAGCCTCAGCAGTCACTACTTCAGCGCACTCGGAAGTATTTGGCGTCAAATTCGAGATATTGCATCAGCTGGGTCTTTCCGTCTCAGACTAAGCGGCTTGAAAAGCCCAGCTCGCCTGATTAGGAAATATTCGTTTCCGCCTTCAGCAATTGAGTGTAGTTTGCGTCAGCTTGCACTTTTGTATGCACAGCAGGGTTTTTCTCCATCCGAAGTATACCATGCCATTGGGCTCCGGTGAACGCGGCCTTCGTGTGTGAGTCAAACCCTGTTCCAAAGGGCTGTTCGTTCTTTGCGTTTTGCGTTTTTGCGCGATTTTCTCAGTCAAATCATCAAAACAGGGGGACTGCCTGACTTGTAACAGTGACAGTCCAACGAAGTGGCTGTTACAAGTCACAGAAATGGATTCCGGACGCAGAATCCACGTACCTGTTTTGAAGTGTAGAATTCCCTTTTCAATTTGCAAAGAACTAAGTGAGTTCCTATTATCATGGCAAGTTGGCCAAGCCAAAAACCATACACGTCGATCACGGCATTATAAGGCCTTCCAGGGAATTTTTCCCATTACTCAAAAGAGTTCTCAAAAACCAACGACGACATGCGGTCTTGCAAGTGCGCGTTGCGTGTTCAATGGTTCATTGTCAATTTTTTGTTGTGCAGATGAAGTCAGATGAGGAACAGATGGTGGCATATACCTACTGGTTTCCTGCGTGTTTGGAGTTGTGGCTTGCCTCAGAAGACTTTGTTGGTTAGATCTTTGCAGTTGCAGTCTACTTGGTCCACTTGTGTGCTGGGATGAAGGACAACAGGGTCAAACTATTTGTCACTGCGGCACACAGCCAGCCAGCCAGCTGGCCGACCGACCAGCCGTGACCAGCCAGCCATATGCATCCATATGCGCCTTCAGCCTCTTGGGAACCAGAACTGCAAGATTAAACAAAAAAACATAAACAGTGCTCTATGAAAAGCATGTGGCGCAACCCCTTCTAACAACATTCGACTCCAAACAAATTGATCCTTTGGAACTCTATTTGTTCGCCGCAACGTTCAGCTGAAGGCCACAAGCTGCAGAAGCCTTTGACAACGATTTGGCCGTTGCTTTGGTCACCTTGGATGCAAACGCAGTCCGCCGGAAGCTGCAGCAACACCTGGGAGCGGCACCGGGTGCCTCACAAGCACGAGCTGAAGCTGAGGCTGATGTTTTTCCTGGCTGGACTCATTGCCCCTGTTGGTGGCTTAGAACATCAAAGTTTAACATGCAAGCTGAATGACTGGCCATGATAGCCCACCCGTTTATATACCTTCACCTTAGAAGAGCGCTAGTCAAATAACATGATATCAAAAAAAAAATCAATTGCAGGGCTGCCAGGGGTTGAGTCCCCTTGTAGCACATGCTGCCACTTCCACCGCGGCAACCTGAAAGGCCCTTGCTGCCTACCAGCGATTGCAACACGTGCAGCAGATACTCCAGACGGGCAGACTGACTGCAAGGGAGCTTTGCTTTCAAGTGGTGCCGACACGCGGCAAAATGTATCCAGCATGATGTGTGTGTGTGTGAGTCATGTTTTGGGATTGTTTGTGACTAAAAAATTGGGATGCTACAATCGTGGTGTTGTGCCACTGGGTCGGACTGCATAACTGCATAAGGACATGGCGCAGGGACTACTGGTTGGATTGCCGAAGAGCTTTAGTGCCACTGCATGCGATTGAAGAGCACTTGAAAGCTGGAGGCTCACCGCAGGCTTGGGAAGAAGAGTGCTGTGAGCGGAGAAAGTGGAACTCCTGGGAACCGAAAGTTCCTCAGAGTATCGACCAGGTCGACCCAGTGCCTTCCTCCTTTGCCTGGGACTTTTTCTGAAATGCCCACCATGAACGATGGCAGGGCTTTGATTGTGCCGCTTGGAGGAGGCTGCCACTGTAAGATCTGTAAGACATGACGCGGGACTGCCAGGCAGACATTGACCAATGTTACGCCGATCAGTTGCAGTATGTGGCAGGGCTGCTGCAAGGACCTGCTCTGGATACATGGCCTCAGATTCAGATTACTTTTGCCATCATGAACTTTGACTTCCCGGCTTTCGGCAGCCCAGACTGCCAAGGTCAGCCATGGTGCAGCCTTGCCGAACAGTGATTTGACCCGCCACGAGATGGCAGATATTGCACCACTGGGCTTGGCAGAAGCTTCGTTTTCCCCTCAAAAAGGCTGCAGCTGAACTTCAACTGCTTGTATTATAGCCGGGGCCTCCAAGGGCGGGGCACTGTGGCTGTCTTTCTGGAAAAAGTGCACAGGTTTCTCCATTGTGCTGTGCATGCTGGGGCCAATCCGCAACATCACAAATTCAAGTTACTAAGTACAGAAACTAGAGCAAAGTCCAGCAATGTCCCATACGCTTGGTCGCGAGTTGCCACGCATATACGCATAGACAAACAGCAAAGAGCACATCAGTCAGCTCGGATACAACTTGTTGAGGTGCCAAATGCGTGGCGCAAACCTTGGAAGAGGCCGGGGCGTACAGGGACGCCCTTGAAGGAATTTTCATCTCTGCCATCTCTCTCTCTCTCTCTATCTGATCTCTGTCTCAAGGGTTCAAAGATTGAGGGATGTCGTTCTTTCAATGCGGGATAATTTGGTTTTGGAACCTGTGCAGTCATTGAGATTTGTGAGGCGGGCATTTGGAAGGAGGGGGACCTGCATCCAGCCTTTAAGTCGTGGGCAAATCGAAAGCGGCGCCGACCTGTGACTTGTTTGGTGAGATTCAGCCGGCATTGGATTGCGTGGATTGTCTTGGCCAGCCATGGGGGCAAGCGTGTGATTCAACATGCTCAGCCAAGGTGAAGAAGCAGGATGGCACTTTGCCGGCACTGGCATCTCAAGTAGACTTGGGAGCTCAGTGTCTCGTTTCTTGGGCCAGCAAGCCGCTCCAGTCAGCTGCATCCTGAACATTGATCCAACTATTTCTGTCACCAAACAAAGCTTATGTCTTTGTCCGATTTTGATACAAGAGAGCACCCTTTGTATTAGATTCTAGTTTGTTGCGGGTCACATCCACATACATCCACTTTGATTGATTATTTGTTGAGGCAACATTCCAGTGACCCTGAATGTCTTAGCCTTGCTCCAAGGCTCGTCGCCCCATTTTGCTTCTGGCCTACGTGCCAGAGGAGGGCAAGTTCAGGACCAGAGCACCAGCCCCAGTTTGCTTATGTATCCTCAATTATCTCTCCTCAACGCGATTCCCCAAGATTTGACATATTAACTAGTATTATATCCCAGAAATGACTTGGATGATGGATGATTTCTGAGATGGCGATGTAGAGAGAAAGAAAGAAAGAGAGAGAGAGAGAGAGGGGAGATGGGTGATTCGTATATATAGATTTGTGATGGGTTTTGAGTCGGGCCGCAGCTGCATCCGACCAAGGCTTCTGGTGCAAGAGCTTCTGGCAAGGAGCAATTGCACACAGCGGGATGAGTGTATTCACAAAAAACACATGTTAAGATTGATGAAGAGCATTAAAGAGCATCAGTATTTTGGATTCTGGGTCCACTGTTCTGGCGAGAGGGAGGGAGAGAGAGAGAGAGAGAGGGAGAGAGATCCACTTGTGCTCTTATTATGCATACATAAACTGGTCAACAGATACAGGATGGAACAGCTGGAAACACATGTCAAAATAGAATTCACTACATAATGTCATAGGTTTCACATGGTTTCACTAAGTCACTAAGTCAAAGCTGAAGTGAATGAATTAAGAAGCCCACAGCTGTCCACTTTTTATCTTAGCGGTGAGGCGGAGGCCTCGAGTGACTGAGCGCGTTCAGCCAGCTGTTTGGATCCGAAGTGCGGGTTCCAGATGAAGATGTGCAAAGTACAACAATTTCCTACCAGGTCGTCTCCTCAAAGAGGAGTTCCTTAAAGCTTGAAGACTAAAGAAGTCGCTAAGCCCTTGGATTTGGAGGAAAAGATCAGTGCATCTCCAGGATTACTGAAGGAATTGGAAGGAAGCCAGCGAATTTTGTTTCCCGAGATCGAACCATTTTTTCCAATGGGAGATGTAACAAGTAGCGGCATGTATACTAAGAAAACACAGACATGGCCTGCATTTCTCTTTCTGTTTTGCGGCCAATGGGGGACGTCCATGCTTGACACTCAGAGATGTCAAGCCTTTGGAGAAGTCAAGTCGAGCCGTTCTTCAAAGGTGACAAGGGTGGCGGTTCTGAATGCTTCCGAGCCATGGCTTTGTCAGGGGAAGCACATGATTTTTCCTGTTGAATTCTTCCCACTCGCCTGGCCTTTCATCGCCTTTGGGCTCAAGAAACTGAGTTCTGCAGGGCCTGCTATTGTACAGCCTTTTACTTTTAACTTTTAATGCAGGAGTTTGGAACACGGATTTGGGCTGGCACATTGCTGCTTCAATGCATATGGTTGGCTAGAGGCATAGCCTTTTGCTGCCGAACATTTGGCACTTCCTCAGAGCAGATTCTGGAAGCCCGGCTTCGAGTGCAGAAGTGGTGGGCTGTAATTTGCCCGCAGATGGATCATCGGCTCATAGAAAAAGTCGACGCTCTCAAATGCCGAATGACGAGACTCGTATGGATTCTTTTGACTGCCGGCAGCATGTTCCGTTTGACGCTACAGCAGCTGATGCTGGCCATAGGTCGTGAACGCATTTCTCCGCACTTTGACCTGCAACTTTTTTCTTTGCGACTGTTGGTTTGGTCGTCAGCCTGAAACCCAACCTCATCACTCCACGTAGCCTGGATGTGTTTTATGTTGCCACTTCCTTGCTGTCGATCCTCGCCCTTCTGCCAGCTTCAAACATTATGGATGCCAGAGAGTTTATGAGTCTCAGCACAAAAGCGGAGTTTTTCTTAGCAGCCCTGACCAAGTATGCTTGGCCTTATGCCTTCAGCACATTCGTGCATTTCCTTTATGCCATGAGATTGACGCGCCTTCATGCAGACTCAGAGATGCCTGTGAGTCCACAGTTCATTGCTCTCTTTTTTCTGCTCTGTTTTGTGGGCATTGCTGCTACCCGAAGGGTGATCATTTACAACATCAGATTGAAGATGGATCTGACGGAAAGATCAGTTGAGCTTGGAGCTGTGTCTTCTCTACTGTTGGTATGCTATGATGCAGTCTTGGAACTAGATGAATCTTTGACCCTCACAGAGGATTCGCATGATTCGCGACGGCTTTCCTCCATGTTGTTGCACTCTGGGTCAAGAGTCAGCTTGCCTGGGATGGCAGACAGGTCATTCCTGGATTGTTTTGATCCAGAAGACCAAGATCGCATCAAAGCCCACTTCGCCAAATCCTCCGATGATGCACCTGTCATGGCCTTGAATGCAGACATGCTGGACGCAGATCAGAATCGTGTGAAAGTAGAAGTCTTTCACGCTCAATTCAGAAACTTGTACAACGAGAGACGCTTTTTGATTGGCGTGAGGGAGATTCAGGATGTAGAGCAAGTGGCACCTTTGCTGGAAGAGGGTCCATTGGTTACCAGGGATGAGAACCTCGTTGTGGTTTTCGAAGTGCACACCTTTGACATTTTATTTTTCAGTCAAGGCATGAACCAGTTTTGTTCCGAGCTTGGCATAAACCGGCCTCGCAGCATCTTGGATCTTTCCAGCGACCAAAGTCGCTACTCCTTTTGCAATCGCCTACAAGAAGTGGTGGACTGCGGAGACCAAGCCCAACCTGCCCAGCTGTCGTTCAATCTTTTAGCTCATGGTGAGGTTTCAACATCCTTGTCAGTTGAGCACGATGAACTCCTGGATTGCTTGGTGGCATCCATAGAAATTCATTTACCTCGAGAGGCCCCAGAGTCTCCATTGACTGAGGCCAATCTGCAGAGATTCGGCGCATCCGATGGGTTCCGCGGCCTGACGTCCCAACAGCGGACAGTCACGTCCCGCAGCCGTCGCAGTCGCAGTCGCAGTAGTCGCAGCAGGACTTCGAGCCGTCGAGCAAGGCACTCGAGGTCTGCTGGAACTCCCAGATTGCTCCAACTTTGAGCGGAGTTTCGAAGCAAACTCAGCATATCTCGTATCGAGAAAGGAACTGATTTCATGTTTCATGTTTCTATATCGTGTCCCCTGCATCCTCACGCAGTTGTTGATACTTCTCGTTCTGATTCCAACACTGCAGGGGGTAAGCGATCACATGGCATGGGAACCTGCTGGCGATGCTGGTACCTCAGAAACAGCACTGGAAATATCTGGATGTATTTATACAGATGATTTTAGAATATTTTAGATGCACGATGGACTGGAACAAGCCTCACATCTTACCGGCCCGGCCGATATCTCCGATACCCAGGCCGAACACTTCCTCCTGGGTCTTTTCAAGAAGCTGTGCGCCCAGACAGATGAAGAATATACATACCGAATATACCCTGGAGGCCTGGAGGTTGGCTGCTGTGAGCTTAATGGTTCTTGGATTCCAGGGAATGTAGAAACAAGAGCAGACAAGAGACCATATGTTTTGCTTCCTTTGGTATCCTTCGCTTGCACTTGGTGCAGCTGCCACGTTTGCGGTGAATCCAAATGTTCGCCCCGCATGGTTCTCTAGTTTCACTGAGGCGCCCTGACCGGCACCGCGATGCATTGCGCTTCATTTACGAGATGGAGGTGATCATCAGGGCAAACGCCTCAGTCATCCTGCTGGCACAAAGCTGAAAGCGTGTTCTGCAGAATATTACCAGCTGCAATGTGCTGCAACCCAGGGTGCCGGTGGAAAAGTTTGTGTACGGATGGGCGCTGAGTGTAGCATTGCTCTATTTTTCTCTCGTTCGGGCAAGATTTTGGGAACATAGGCTGAATTCTTGAGCTGGTTTGGTTGGCATCAGCAGCTGCCCAAGGACCGACAAGCCAGATCTCTGGGACATCATGGATGGAAGGGATCATTTTGCCGTGCCAGACTTGGTCTTTTGTCCTTTCCCATCCTTTCCCATATTTTGTTGTTGGGTTGGATAGTTTTGGCCCCCCATCTCCTATGGAGCTAAGGAGCCCAACCATCTCAACCCGGCCATTTTTGACTGCGATACCATCCTCCTGGCTGGCTTCAAAGACTTGGAAGAGGTGCCACTTGTGATACTTTGCGGCTGAATGTTGCTGGATAATGGCACCTTGAGCCGTCCCCATCACCGAGAAAGTCTTCAACCAGGACTTTGAAATCGGACACCTAGTGTAACGCTTCGTGCATCCGTGTTTTCGCGAGGTGCATTCCTGGTGGGCATCCGATGAGGCCACCACACCAGCCCTGCGCATTCGGGCCTTTCACATTGTCAATCGTAGAGTGTCAACATATTGCAGATCAGCAACATGTATCAAGATTCAAGATGTCTCTTCATTTACATTCATTTACTGGATCAATCTATGTTTGCATTGGTAGTGGCATGGTTGGCCCCGTACCTCTCTATCAGTCTACGACAGTGGAAATTCACTGAAATGCGCTGCACTTTGTACCGTAGCCCAGATCGGCTTCTTCAAGTTTTTGGCTGCGACCGACAAGTTCTCTTGAAAGTTCAGATAAACCCGAACACATCTGAACTCTGAACACACTTTTTTGTGCAGCCTCCTTGCTTTTCATCGACAGTGCGCTGGCTTGTAACGGCCAAACAGCTTGCAATTTGATCCTGTTTGTATACAATCTTGCTTTGTCTGCGGGAAGTTCCCGCAGAATCATCAGCAGTGCAACTTCAAGTAACCTGCCAACTGTTGAGTCTGATATGTTGCAAGATTCCAGGCGCATCTCGGATTTTCTATGATTTTCTGCAGGTCTTTGAGCTCATGAAGAACAGGGATGTAGTCATGGAGAAGATGAGTCTCCATACCATCGATGGCTGGGCAGAGAACAGGGTTGGGAATTTGATAGAATTTGAATCCTCAGCAAGAAATTAACAAATGTATCAGTGAGATTGAGTGAGATGTTTCGCATAGGGTGGTGCGTCACATTAGCCGCACTTTACGCAGAAAGGGTCAGGGCTCCATTCTAGCATATTCATCCCCGTCCGAATTTCCTCTAGGAAACGGGGTAGCCTGAGCGACAAAAAAGTTGTCATTTTCATGGAGCATCAGGATGAGTAGGGACATCGGGTGGAAAGCTTTACACCAGTCAGAGCTGTGAGGCTCAAAATTTAAGGTGAGGGCAGCCTCGGGCCATGGCAGCGCTCGCTGTGGCGCTGATGGAGAGCATGGCCGATGCTCAAACGGCCCGGAATGCTGCCTTCCCAGACGCAGTGACGAGTCCAGTGGTAGGCCTGCTGATGATGGCATTCAGCATGGCCCTGGACCTGCCCAGGGAACCCGATGAGGGCAGTCCGCCTGAATTTGGCCCAGCTGTCGACGATGCTAGGAGCAATGACGGCTGAAGCGACGGCAGCCCTGGCTGAGTGACTTCACATGGACCGAAGGAGAAGGCCCGAAGGCCACCCGACATGGGGACAGCTGAAGGCATCAGAGTCATACTGGCAGTCGATGAGCTGCGCTGCTATGACGTTCCCCATTGAAACATTGGTCCGGACAATTCTACGAAGCTACCAATGGCAGATGCAACAGGCCTGGGTTGCGAGGGGCCAAGATAGGGTACAATTAGCAGCCATGGAGGGGCAACAGCCCCAGTGAAGGTCACCGACTTGGCTATGAGAAGTCGAGCCCCTTGACCATCGGGCTTGGAGGCAATCTATGAGTATAACGTGGTGATCGGGCTGGCAATGGCTCTTCACTATATGGTAGTGGCTAGGGAACGACTCGCGTCATTCAAAAGGGTGTGACAAGGCGGGCACCCAGACAAAAAGAGGGAGTATGTGCCAGCGAGGTTGGTCGGGTTGGTCATTTTTCCTTTGTCAGCGGCATTTCCCCCTACTCCAGTTCATTTAGACCTTCCACCATTTTTTACGTCCATGTTGTGGGCTCATCGCTCCAATGGATCCATTTGCGGTCAAACGAACGGAAACTTACACCACAGTTGCGCTTGCTTGCATTGCACGGTCAACAGACTCAACTTGACATTCGGGTTATTTTCCACCTCACATTATTTGGTTTAGCTCGCTGCGGGCTCAGCTGCTAATGATCCCACAGCGGGTTGGCTCAAACGACCAACGGCCTCAAAGAGGTCTCGGACCTCCTCAAGCAGACCAAGCAGCAGGACTTGGCTCCGCTTTTGGTGAGCCATGGCGTGCAGTGCGTGGAGGACATAGCCACCCTGGCCCCAGCGCTCACAAGGGACGGGAAGATTGAGCTGCTGACAGTCTCACAGGGGACTTGAACAGGCAGTCCTAGAGTCTTTCACAATGACTTGCTGGTGCTTAAGTCCGAGTGAATGAGTGAAGTTGGCTTTGAAAAACAATATTTTCAAGGAAGAGGGGATGAAAAATGACATGTTCAATGTTTCTTTTTAGAAGTTTTCATCATCGGAACTTGAGCCAGCTGAAGAATCTCTTTTAGTTTAATGACATACATGGTATTTAGAAAACCAAGTTTCAAAAAGGTACGAAGTATGAAAACCAAGGACCACGCGGTTGCATTTCAAATGTTCGTCACGAAGGCTAACTTTTCAGTTTTTGACAGTCTGATGTATTTTTCAGAAAAAAGGGCTCAAACTATCAAGGAAAAATAGGATGTTTTCAATGTTCATATCACGGCTTCTATCTTGACGGTTTGCGCCAATCAAAGTAAAATCAATAAATATTTCTAAATGCATGTGTATATATATATATTTGGGGGGGGCAGGACGGAACAAAAAAACGCCATGTGAAGCGCTGCGACAGCGCTGCATGTTGTTATGCATGTTTGTTGGGATAGCAAAATAATGTAGTGAAGACTTGAGACAGCATTGGTCGTCGTCAGGTTTGTCAAGCCACATGTTAAGTCACATGGGGTCTCTGTTGAACAAGAAACCTGTGAGTTATTAAATTATTTCTATTCAATTTGCTGTCTTGGTTTCCTTTTTCAAGTCCGTCAGTCAATGTCAGCAGGGTCAGGTCTCAATGGTAGAGCTGAGGCAAAGCCAGACTGCTGAGACAGCGCTGGCTGTCAATGCCAGCCAGAGCTGAGATAGCGCCGGCTGCCAACCTGTCAGACCCAGAGCTGAGACAGCGCTGGGTTGCAGGGGGCGAGTGGTCAAAACGCCAGAGCTGCGACAGCGCTGGCATGACCCACTACGATTTGGGGTTGTTGCATCTTCAGGTAGGTCAGTCAGTCATCGGTGGCATGGACTGGGGCAACGGCTCACTCATGCCGCTGTAGTTCCTCGGCGTTTGGAAGGGCTGTGCATTAGGGCGGAGTGGGAATGGTCGACGGTGGTGAAGGAAATGAAGCTTCCAATTTAATGCGTCCTTTTTTCCATTGACGCGCGAGGCACTGTCAATGTCATGGATGTGAAAACCGTTATACTGCAGGGTGACAGGTTTTGGCATTGGTTTTAATTTTGAAACTGCTGAAAGTTTTTGATTTCCACGAAAACATCAATGTCTCAGTCATAGGATTGGTCACCACTGCCACGGCTTGAGAACTGAAAAACTGGGGCCTTATATGGACGGTGAAATGACAATCACTGAGACAGATGACCACAACCGAATTTGAAGACTTTATAATTTATAATACTAGATCTGTAAAGGCCGCAACGCCACTGCCGCCGGTCCCGGGTGTCGTCGTGATTGACAATAATTGTTTTGAATTGTTTACCATTTGATTATTATGATTGTTTACTTGGTCGCCGCCGCCGCTGCCACTCAGATTTTGCAGTCATCCTCGTCGCTGCTCCTCTGCGTGAAAGTATCAAGGAAGAACAAACCAAAACAAACTAAGCAGCAAATCGGCGCAGTGAAATTGTTGAAAGCTTGACGCAATGAATGACAGTCAATAATGAGTTTAAGGGTCAGTCAACTTTCTCTGTCCTGCTGCCGCTGCCACTGTTTCGTGTAGAAATCATGTATGGCCTGGCTGGGCTGGCATGCAGAACGAACATGACATGAAATCAAAAGGGGACTGACTACCGCGCGACGACGACAAACTTAAACGAATCAGAAGTCGAATCCAAGGGGAATCTCAATGAGACAAGTGAGCCTGGCACTGGGCTGCATGCTCCATTTCCAACTCCTAGTGTCGCCAAGGACTCGTTCCAAAAACTGCACCTTGTCCAGGATTGCTAAATTTAAGCATCTTCTTGAACTTCACAAGTAACCAGGCAAAGTCAGTCAGTGTCTGTCCTTCTTCTCCTTGCGCTTTTGCTCAATGAACTCCTGGAGTGATGAATACAGTTTTAGCATTCAGGAATGCAGTGCGCTGCTTGTCGTCAACATGTCGGTCCTCCTGCCAAAGTCGGTGTCGATGCTGTTGCTCCTGACAGTGGAAAACCAAGCAAAGAAAAATTGCACATCATCTGAAATGACATAAATTAAGCAGACATCTGAGAAATGAAGTAAAAATACAAATGTACTGACGATTAATAAGTATTCAGTGACAATGACAATGAACTCAACTTAACTCATCTCTGCAATGTGTCCGGCCTCCAGCTCTTTTTCCAACCGTGTCACCTTTGCTTTCAGCGCCACGATCTGCTGGCCATCTCTGTTCTCCAAGCCTCTCAGCCTGGAAGGTCTTGTCCTCTTATCCTTGCCCTTCTTTTTCTTTTTCTTTTCGTCGCCGCCGGCTTCCCACCATGATGGCCATCCCCATGACCACTTGGATTTTCCTTTGGGCTTGCCCTTGCCCTTGCGACCGTCATTGTCATCGTCGTCGCTGCTTGAAAAATCATCCTCATCCTCTTCCTCCTCGTCTTCAGCATAGCTCTTCTTGGGTTTCGGCCTGCTGCTGGCCGGGCTGACATGGTCATCGTCCTTCTCAGCCTCTCTGGACCTTTTGTCGCCTTGCTTCTGGTTCTGCTTCTGCTTGTCCTCTTCTTTCGCTGCTGATGCACCAGCGGCTGCTGCTGCTGCTGCTGCGGCTGAAGCCGCCAGTTGGACCTGCTGCTGCCACTGCGCCTGCTGCCAAGCTTCCATTTGCAGTGCTTGTTGCTGCATCATTGCGCACTGCTGCTGCTGCTGCTGCTGTATCCACTGCTGTTGCATTGTCATGGCATAAAAATCTTGCTGTTGTTGTTGTTGTTGCAGGTGCATTGCAGCTTGCTGCTGCTGCTGCTGCTGCTGCTGCTGCTGCTGCCGGTGAACAGGCTGCGGCGGCTGCGGCTGTGTCGCAGCTTGCCATTGCTGTTGCTGACCTTGCCCGGTGGCTGGTCGCTGCTCAGGCTGTTGCTGCTGAGTCTGCCGGAGTTGTTGATGTTGCTGCCGCGGCTGCTGCTGCGACGCAGCATTCTGCTGAAAGGGTGGCCCCGGCGGTAGTCTGGCCTTTGCAGGGGGGATCAGTGGCTCAGGCGGCTTTAATGCATGCTTGTTGTACTTGGGAGTGGCAACCATGATGTTGACAGTCCCACGCGTTTGATTTGGCAACTTTGGCTTGACGGGCATCTCTTTTGGCGGCGGAGGAGGCTTCGTCGTCGCAGAATCAGAACCTGTATGCCATGTTTGCTGCTTGTCGTCCTGGCGCCAGTTCCATTCTTGCCACGACGACGACGACTTCTGGTCCTGCCAATCCTCTTGCCAAGACGGCCACTGATGATGGGGTTGCCATTGCCATTTGTCACTGGCGGCCTTTCTGTCTTCCTCTTGCACTTTCATGTCTTGAGCCCCCTTCAGGACTTCTTGCTTCAAGGCCTGGCCGTCCGCCACTGCCTTCTTCTGCTCATATTTCTTGATATCATCGGCCTCCTTGAGCTTTCGTTCCTCGTCTTCCTGTCTCTTTGCTTCGGCTTCCTTCCTTGCCCTTTCTTCATCTTCCATTCTTTTCTTTCGCTCCTGCTCAGCCTGCTTTTTCTTCTTCTCAGCCTCGGCTTCAGCTGCCCTTTTGTTTTCCTTTTCAATTTCCTACCTTTTCAGTTCAGCTTCAGCCTCTCTTCTCTTATTCTCTTCGGCTTCTTTCCTCTTGCGATCGACTTCCGCTTCACTTTTCTTCTTGTCTTCGGCTTCCTTCCTTCTGCGGTCGGCCTCGGCTTCCCTTTTCTTCCTCTCCGCGGCTTCCCTCTGCTTCTTTTGCTCACTAGCTCTTGCCTCGGCCTCCTTCTGTTTCTCCTCAGCCTGCTCCTTCTGCTTTTTTGGGTCGGGGTCCTTTTTGGCTTTGTCATCCACTTCCCTTTTCACTTTTGGCGCCGCAGGTTTTGGCGCATCACCTGTTCTTCTGGCTGGCGTCTCTTTCGTCATTGGCATTGTCTTTCCATCCGTTGGCACCGGCGGTGGCTTAGATAATTGATTGAGTTTCTTATTCCCAAAATGCTGCGACTTTATGGTAACTGTAAGATAAACATGTGAAGAAGTTTCAATCACGACTTTAAGTTTAAGTTTACTGTGGAGAATTTGATGACACCATGTCTACATAATTGGTTCCGTTAAATGCTGTTATTGAAGGTTCTCTGCTGACTTACTGATGGAATCACACGGGTCCAGTTCTGTCAGTTCATGGGCGCTGCAAAAAATATCTTGTAGACTTGAAAAATCATCCGTCTTTGATTGAGCCAATAATAATGAGTGACAACCAACAATAATCAGGTTTGGCCGGCGTTAGCATCATTTGACTTGCCAAGATGTGGAATCAGAATCAGAACTGATTAACATCCCCAGCTCTGCAATGCCACCGCACTCATAAAAGCTGGTCCACATTGAGGCTGACTGGGATGCCCGAACAATGAAGCCAAGTAGAACCAGCTTCGGCCTCAGCATTGGGCAGGCTTTATGTTGAAATAAAGGTGGCGCTGAGACAGCGCCCTGACTGACTCAGTCGTCAACTTGACATCATAATTATTTTTTCAATCCAGCACCGGGCTGATGCATGCTAAAGGTGGTGCTGAGACAGTGCCCTGACATCAAAACATTTTTGGGCGCTGAGATAGCGCCCTGACATGTTATGGGTGGCGCTGAGACAGCACCCTGACATAATTAATCAGTGGGTGGCGCTGAGATAGCGCCAATTGTACCAGACCCGACTGTGCTGGTAAAATTGTGTTTTGTTTTGGGATGAAATCTTCCTAGTTTTTGGCAACTCTGAGGATGGGGCTTGCGGCGCGCTCTGCCATGACGAAGCTCACGATGGAGGCCCTTGGGCGGCTGCGGCGATATGTGTTTTTAACCAATCCAAAGAAGGTAAACCCATGAATGGGAGGTACCGCCTGTCACGGCGGCTATGGTTCAGGCGCTGTCTCAGCTCCTTTTTTCATTTACAGGCGCTATCTCAGCTCCTTGTCTAATTTAACGACACATGTTTCTTATCGCGATGATAGGGTCAGTTCAAAAATTAGCCAACACGGGACAAACACAAAGTTTTGCCAACTGAGTCTACAGGTCTACCAATGTTTGGGTGAATGCAGGCGCTGTCTCAGCTCCATCGTCATTCATTGGTTTTTCATAAGGTACAGATTTTGATCCAATAACCCCAATTAATCAGTTTTCTGATGAACATTTAAGTCACCTTTTGGCGCCCAAAGGTGACTTCTAGGGATTTCTGGGGTTTCAGTGCTTTTCGAAGTTACTTCTTAGGATTTCTGGGATGTCAGTCTAGTTAGTGGCGCCCAAAGGTGACTTCTAGGGATTTCTGGGGTTTCAGTGCTTTTCGAAGTTACTTCTTAGGATTTCTGGGATGTCAGTCTAGTCGCGTCACTGGCTTTTTTGAACTTCAGAACAAACTGTCAAAGGTGTCAGACTCCTGGAGTTCAGATAAATTTACATGACCAGATATTTGAATTTACATGAGTTCCTGCACAATAATTTAATGTCCTCATTATTATTATTGTATAATGATGTATAATAGAATGGCTTATGAATGGCTTTTCAACGACGGTGTCCTGAGGGATGACAGTGACACTGGTGAAAAATCCAACTTTAGTGAAAAAAGACTGTAACATTGATGTTTGAAAAAGACCAAATTTAGCAATCCAACTTTATGTCGCCGCAGGGATTTGGGTTGCAAGGAATGATCAAGTTGTTGTGCTTTTGCGTTGCAAGCCAATGGGGCAGCTGAGCAAAGATGATACTGCTCACTTGTCAAATTGCAATGTGCGCGCATGCCGCAGATGCGCTTATTTGAGAAATGCTGAGGAATGGCGGCGAAAGACTTTAATTAGTAATTCAGATGTCAGCTATTTGCGAAGCGAAATCACGCCTGAAGGTATGTGGCGTGTGTTTTGCTGGATCTGTCGGAAAGTGCATGGGGCCGACGGCAAGGGCTTGGCTGCCGGTGTTGAGCCCGCTCACATCAACAATGTGACCAGGCATAGCCAGTTCCAGTGCCATGTGGACGCCTTGTTTGAACTTGGCTTGGCTCGTGCGCGGGATTTGGACGCACCGCCAGCTACTGGCTTCATGGAAGTGGCGAAGCATTGTCAGAATGGGAACCCTTGGTGCCAGGGTGTGGCAGGGGTTGGCGGCAGGAAGAAGGTCAGCAGCATGATGACCTGCCTGGCCCAAGCGCTGTTCAGAGACGACCAAGTCTTCATGCAGTCTGCGGCTTCCATTATGCTACACTCTGATGTACGTGGGTCAAGGCTGGCCATTCGCTTCAGGGCTTCGAATGCAAGTCTGGACTCGCGCACTGGTCTCCTGGGGGTTGCCCGCATTGCCTCTCACTCAGCAATGCACATCAAAGAAGGGTTTCTGAAAGTGTTGGCAGAATTCTGCAAAAGGGCGGGGGCAGTGGACTATAAGCTTGTGGCAAGAATTCTTCACCGAACTGAGATCTTGGATGGCGATGCTGCCAGTGATGGACAATTGGCAATGTCATTGTTGAGATCAAGCGGCTTGTTTCCGTCAATCAAGTGCATTGTCAAGGACCCTTGTCATGCATCTCGAAGGGTCATCAAAAGGCCGTGGTCAGTCATTGATGAAATCAAGGAGGCATTTGTCAAAGTAATTGCTGGCCGCCGGAGCTTGACGAACATCATCCAAAATTCAGAGACTTTGGCCAAAGTGTTTTCCGACTTTGCTGACAGAAGCCTAGACTGCCCTGTCGTTGGGGCCCAGGCCAAGAATTTGTCCCGGCGAGCCCACCGGTTTGACAGCTATCAGAAGCCGCTGGCTCGCTTTTGTCTCTATGTGTCAGCATTCTTTGAAACGGCGTCGTGGATTCAAGTGAACAGGCAGTCTGACAAGGAACAGTTTGAAACTGCGAGCTCCTTTCTTCACTGGGTAACGCCTTCGAAGCTCCTCGTGCTGGCAATGTGCGCAGATGCCGCTGATGAATCCCTCCTGCTGACCAGGCATTTTGATTCAGAAGGGCACGATCTAGCTGCATTGCACGCAGCTGCGGAGTCTTATGTGACCAGGCTCAAGTACTTATTTCTTGAAGGGCACGTTCTCAGGGCAACTGGGTTTACTTCGCACATGCTGAAGTGGCTGGGGAAGACCAGAGCTGTCAAAGTGGGAAAGCGTGTCAAATGCATTGGTGGGGCAGGTGTTGTCACACCGCAGCTCACTGAAGACAGCCTCAAGCCCATGAAGGTGTTTGTGCACATGGCGTGTCAAACAATTGACGCCGAGTACCCAGCCTTTGGAATCCTTGGTGCCTTTGCTTGTTTTGATGTACAGCCATCGAAGCTTGAAAGGGACATGGCAGCGCAAGAAGTTCATTTGAGGCGCCTCGCTCAAGTTCTGAACCTCAGTTTTGAGGAGTTGGACATGCAGTTTGGGGACCACCTTGCAATTGCATTGCACGAAGCGAAGCAGCAAAGACTGGACAATGCTGCTGCCTGGGTTGCTGCCGTGAAGAAAACCTCCAGTGCTCAAAAGGCAGTTCGGCTGAAGCATCCGTGTCATATCCTCATTGAGGTGCTTGTTCGTTGTGTTGCTTGGCAAGGTTGCAGCACAAGCGGGGTTGAGCAATTCTTCAGCCACGGCCAGCACCAAATAGATTCAAGCCGAAACCACTTCACAGAGGGCAACGAGGTGTGCGAGCTCAAGGTGATGAGTGATTTTCGGCACCGAGATGCCACAAACGTGTGCACCATTGCGAGGACAGTTTGGACAGAACTTTTTGCGGCTCCGCGCAAGAGCTCAGCCGATCGATTGGATGCGGGCGTGCCACGGCCCAAGAAGCAAGATTCCGAGATCGCTTTCTTGAGGAAACGCCGGCTGGAAGCCGGTGGTGCTGACGACAGCAAAGCATCCGTGCAAGCAGTGATTGCCGAGTCTCAGCCTTACATCACTGCTGGGTTGACCGACAGTATCCAAAATGAACTCCTTTTCCAGGAGAAAAAGAAGTTCAAAAATCGTCTTCTTGCATATTTGGACGAGGCGTTGCTGCAGTCCGAATTGACGCCAGACATGGCGCAGCTTGCGCAGGCATACTTGGACCACAGGGCCAAGCTTGATAGGGACAGGCAAAAGGCAGAGAAACGAAAGTTCTCCCTGATGAGTCCGGTGCCCAATCTTGATTCTCAACCAATTCTGTTGGAAAGCATGATGTGGCTCAACATGGATTGTCTCCGTGGGAAGCAAGTCGTTGCCGATGCAACAGACGCTGCTATATTTGTAGTGGAAAAACTTGACTGCCCCCATTTGACAACACGCTGGGCTGTTGGCCTTCGTGGTGGCCATGTGGTTGATTTGGACTTTTTGAAGTCTGGTGGGTCAAAAGGTGTTTGTGTGTCGTATGACCCAGCCATCGCTATCCAGCGGAAGGTGTACTTATGCCCTTTGTTCAGACGTGAAAATCCAAACTTGGCAACCATAGTCGTGCAAGCCTCAATGCTGCGGCACTCTAAGTGGACATTGCTCTCGTCTTGGGAAGATTTCTTCTACTACAGGAAGAGCCAGGGGCTACAGTGCATTGCCTTGACCACGCGTGCAAGTCAGAATATTGTTGCAGGAAAAGATGTGGTCAACGCAAGTGAGTTTCAGGACAAATTCCTCAGCAAGCTCGCCATTGTATCCCGGAATCTGTGTGCCAAGCAGCGTCGCCGTGGGTGAAAAAGATTGCTTCGGGACGGGCCGGCGAAGAACGTGTTAACTTCAAAAACATGGACTTATTATTACATAATGGAGAAGTTAAAAACCAAGATTGTTTTTGAAATTTGGGTTCCACTTTTTTGTAGAAAAATCAAGGACCCAAATTCAGGATATCCACCTTGAAAGTAGAATTGTCTTTTCAATATCTAACTCAGCGAGTGGCCGAACTTTAAACTTTTTTAATTTTTTCTCCCTTGGCGCGCGCGCGGACCCAAGGTTAAACTTTTTTCTCGCTGGCCACTTACGGAGTAAGATATAGAGTCTTTAACAAAGGGGTTATCCAAGATATAGAGGGGTCTATTTAGATGGCCTTGGGGGCGCGCGCACGGACCCAATGGGAGAAAAAAAGTTTAAACTTTTTTCTCGCTGGCCACTTACGGAGTAAGATATAGAGGCTATTTATTAACAAAGGGGTTATCCAAGGGTTTGCTAAGGGGCTTTCCGATATAGCATGTCTTTGCAAGTCAGCCTGACAGGCTGGCCGAGAAATGCGCAGCTGCCGCTGCTGCAGTCCGGGTTCCAAGCATCAGCTTCACCATCCATTGTTGGGGTACCCTAATTTTCAGACCCAGATAGGTACACATAAGTACGGTTTCAGATCTCAGGTAAATTCACCCTTTGAGTTTATTGTGATTGAAATTTGTTGAACACGTTAAAAAGGTTTTGACTCCTGCCAGGCGACGTTTATATACTGAACATCAATGACGACTGCAAGCAAATTCACTTGGCAGTCTGAGTTAAGATTGATTTGACCGACCGACTTTTATTTTTTCGATGGATCTCACTCTCAGTGGATCTAGTCTCAGGCCCTGTATAGTCAATGTCAAAGATATCACCTGTAAAATCATTGCTTCATAGAGTTTAAATTTTCAATGCAACTGGTGACAGTGTTTGGTCCAACCTTACGCTCTTTGACTGGGCGGTGAAACGCAAGTTTGGCCGCCAAAGAAGAAGGGCTTTGGAATCTCACTACTTGTGGCTGAGCAGCCTTTACTTAGTTCCGCTATTCGATATTAGCAACCGGCGATGCATATTAAAAAAAGGAAAAACAAATGATGAAAGTCAAACTCTATATAATATTGAATTCATGTTTTCTTATTACTTCTGTTTGCTCTTTAAATATCGTTTTTGCTTATTGGTCCGCCAATCGTTTTTTCTGCCCCGAAGAGCGGCGTTTAAAAGCAACACTTAACAAGATTTCTTTTGAAAGGGGTCCTCAAGGTGAATGGGGTCCTGGGTCCGCGCGCGCGCGCGTCAAGAGCCCCAAATGGAAGCTTTTTAGGCGCGCGCGCGCGGACCCAGGACCCCATTCACCTTGAGGACCCGTTTCAGGGGAAAACTTGTTACTTGCAGAACGCTGAGATAGTTATTGTGGGTTGATTTCATCGGGATTGTGAAGGATTGTCTGAGGAGCTGAGACAGACTGAACGGCGCTGTCACAGCGCTTGACAAATTAAACAGATTTAATATTATTACCCGGCGCTGAGACAGCGCTGAGACAGGAATCCAGGGTTCACAGAGTTTATGCCGTGATGATTGCTGGCCTGAGGCCCGATGATCCAAGCGGCCTGCTGCAGTCTGGGCCTCAACTTGGAATAGGACGAATAGGCTGGGAAGGTGTGTGCGGGGACTGAAAACAGGGGGACGGAGCTGAGATAGCGCCGACCAAGTGACGGAGCTGAGATATATATAGCGCCGACCTGACGAGCATCGACCTCAAATTTGGAGCTGAGATAGCACCATTATTGTCAGGGTTGATTTCGTCGGGATTGTGAAGGATTGTCTGAGGAGCTGAGACAGCGCCCGTAACGGCGCTGAGACAGCGCTTGCATTGACAAAGTAAACTAATTTAATATTATATCCGGCGCTGAGACAGCGCTTGCATTGACAAAGTAAACTAATTTAATATTATATCCGGCGCTGAGACAGCGCCGAGACAGGAATGCCGAGGGTTCAAGGCCACAGATATTCACCCCGCTTCGCGTGGGGTGGCCGCCCACACCGCAGGTTTATTTCCGTCCGTGAGAGGGGCTAAGGGTGGTTTCCCCCCGTGGGGGCTCCCCAAGCTAAGAATTTTCACTTTCCCCCCGTGGGGGCTCCCCAAGCTAGGGAATTTTCACTTTTCCCCCCCCGTGGGGGCTCCCCAAGCTAGGGAATTTTCACTTTCCCCCCCCCGTGGGGGCTCCCCAAGCTAGGGAATTTTCACTTTCCCCCCCCGTGGGGGCTCTCCAAGCTAGGGAATTTTCACTTTCCCCCCCCGTGGGGGCTCCCCAAGCTAGGGAATTTTCACTTTTCCCCCCCGTGGGGGCTTCCCAAGCTAGGGAATTTTCACCTTTCCCCGCCGTGACAGCTTCCCAAGCTATGGAATTTTCACTTTTCCCTCCCTTGGAGGCTCTCCAAGCTGCGGAATTTCAAATAGCTAGACAACGACGCCTAGATAGTCCCCCAAATCCCGTGTTCTTTGAATGTGTTTCCATGTTTTTGCAATGGTTTCCTTCAAAGCACGGTACTTTACACTTTTGTCGCCATAAAACCGGTCGAAAACATCATGTTCGACAATGCTTCCAATTCCCTTATCTCCCCAACCGTTGAAAATACCGCTATTTACAGTGTTTTCTTCAATTTTTCCATGTGCCAATGCCGGTAGCCAACTCCAACATATATATAAGAAATCCTTCCAAAACATTGTTTTTGACAGTGTTTTTCCAATGTTTCCAGTCAAACAGACGGTAATTTACACGTTTTTTGCCATAAAGGCAGTAAATCCTTCCAAAACATTGCTTTTGACAGTGTTTTTGTAATGTTTCCAGTCAAGCATACGGTAATTTACACGTTTTTTGCTATAACGTCAGTCCAAAACACTTGTTTTTGCAGTGTTTTCAATGCTCTGGCATCCAAAAACCCTGCAAAATCTTGCTATGTACAATGTTTTTTTCATTTTTGGCCGTTTTTCCATTGCCGGAAAGCTACCAAAATGACCCAAAATTCCATTTCAATACCCTCTTGCGCTCAGACACCCAAAAATCCTCGAAAAATGTCGAAAACACCACCGTATTCTGGTCTCGGTGCGAAACCGTTTTTGGGCCCCCCCCCCCCAGCTAAAGCTGATATAGCGACTGCTATATTAACAAATGTCATTGAGCATTTAGTGTTGCTGTTGCCCCCCAATAAGCACGCCTTCACCGCCAAAGCGGTGTGGGCGGATTTTCTGCCGTGATCTGATTGCTGGCCTGAGGCCCGATGATCCAAGTGGCCTGCAGTAGTCTGGGCCTCAACTTGGATTAGGCTGGGAAGGTGTGGACTGAGCCGAGATTGGCGGAGCTGAGATAGCGCCGACCAAGTGACGGAGCTGAGATAGCGCCGACCAACTGACTGAGATAGCGCCGACCAACAGATTGACGGAGCTGAGATAGCGCCGACCAACGGATTGGCGGAGCTGAGATTAGCGCCGAGATGGACAGCGGCGCCGCTGTGCAATCACCTTTTTCAATGTATTGTTACGCCGTCCCCTGTCAATCTTCATCCCCACATCAGGTAATCACGAGCTTGGGATTGCTTGGCCCAGCCTTGGAAGGTCCGGGTCCTTGATTGCATTGACAGAGGAAGTGATCTTCCAGCTTCAGAGTTGATTTTTCTTCTGATTCTTTGCCGCCGCAGCATTTTGGCGCCTAGCTTCGACGATCTCACTCGACGATCTCACACTCAGTGCTGCCTGGCCATGCCCAAGCCCACGAAGAAGATGGGAAACGCTTCGGCGGAGTGGAGTCTCCAGGCCAGCAACCTGAACGTCAATGATGCCGTCTTGGCAAAGTTTGAGCATGATATGGATGTGGTTCTCCAACATCATGTGTTCTCAGATGTGAAGACCATGAAGCCTTTGGAAATTGTGGAAGGGGCTGCTAAGCATGAGGCTGGTCATCAGGCTGGGCTACTCGTTGAAAAAAAAATAGGAAAACGGTCCTGGATTGACGAGATATGTTGCGTGTTTACCGGGTTCGACTCACCAGTCGGGGACGTCCCCGACTGGTGAGGGACTCGGAGACCCATGTTTCCTTTGATGTTGACCGAAAGGGGGTGTTTTGCCTGCAGCGCTCATGCACCATGCCATACCACCTGCCTGCCCTTCTCAACAGTCGGGGACGTCCCCGACTGATGGTAGACTTGGGGGAATTTAGTCTTAAATCTCGTCATTTCACACAGCAAAAACATGGATTTGTTGTGGTTCTTGACGCGCAGGCCGTGTTTGCCAAGCAAGCCTACCGCCAAGCCATTGACTCCCGTGGTTTTTACCAGTGCGGAGGGAACTTGTTTTGGATCAACATGGCGAGAATGGTGAGCTCGCAAGGAGTCCCGATGTCAGCCCGTGGCATTGAGCAGCTGAAAGTGTCCCACTTTCAGTCCCCAAGGCCCTTGGAGCACATGATCATCGTCCCAGTGGAGCAGGAGTGGAGCTACAAGGAATTGAAAAACAAGTTCGGAAACTTGACTCGCCTTTCACCTGAAGAGATAGAAATAGCTCTGATTGGCCGCATTGCCGACCTGGTGCGCTCAGGCGCCGACGACATTGAGCTGACGTTGCTCGGCTATTATACAATCTTGTTTCCTTTTTTTTAAACTTTTTGGGCCAAGTTAGACATGGATTTGCTTTAAAACTAGCAAGTCAACTAAGGGCTTGGCGCACTGTGTGTCTCACAGCGACGTTTTCCTTTGAAGTCATGAGCTCGGACTCTTCGATGTATTGGCGGGCAATCAACACGCGCAGAAAGACAATTGCTCTGTATGACGCGGTTGCCCCAAGCCCGACTCAGAGAATCTTTCAGCTCATGACTTTCAAGGAATCCTACGAAGCTGCGCATGGCTCTGTCTCCAACAGTGACCTTGCAAGTATCTACAATGCAAACCTGCAGGAGATAGATTCCAACCTCGAAGACACCGTTTCAGAAAACTGGGTTGACACAGCCATCAAGATCTTCAAGAGGGCCTTCGCTCACGAGAATTTGCTGGCAGAAGTTCTCCGCGATGAAGGTGAAAACGGCAAGAATGGCATGTTTCAAACGTCATGTTTGGAGGAGATTTGTAACCTGGATGATCTTCAGTCATGTTTAAACATCATGTTACGACGAGACAAACTATAACTAGCCTTTCACAAGAACCAAACAAATGATGTAATACCCAAAATGTGTTTTGCAGAATCCCTCAAATTCAAAACGGAGTGGATACCAAATCCCTCGCCAGTTTTTTGTTTGGAATGAAGTCAAAGCGCCGACTGAGGCATCAAAGGGAAGACCCAAGATGACATTTTCTGGATCATGCGCAGTATGCGACATGCAGTCAGCACGAAGGAGCTCACCCCGACTGACTTCACTGTTCGCTTCATGTGTGGCCAAAAGTCAAGCGGCTCAACTCAAAAGGGGTTTCTTCACTTGTGCTTGCTGAAGCGATCCTTGCTGAAATATTTGCTTTGCACTTGGCTGGAGCAGAACTCCACAGACCCAGAATCCAAGGACCGCCAAAAATTTCACAGAACAACCAACGGTTTTTGCTGAAAGACCTGAAAGTAGTTTCTTAAATTTTGAAGCAAATTCAAAGTTCATTAAATTACTTGGTTGAAGAATATTTATGACAGTGAGGGTCTGTTGGAAGTGACAGGAGACATTGCTGGCCTTGCAACCCATGACGACTTTGAGTTTTGGTGCCTGGGCGAAGACATTCAATGGCAGGGTAATGAGAGCGAATCCACTCGAATGACACTCAGCTTCTTGGAGGACAGGGGCCCTTTTTTCCTTTTTTCCGCCCCCCTTCTTCAGTTGCAACAGCCACGGGTTTTTTATATTTCAATGGCAAATTTAATTTGCTATTTTTGAGCACCATTTCGTCAAGACACGAGAGTCAGAGAAAGTCAGAGCATTGTCGCAGGACGTTATCTTCGGTGCCCGGCACGATGCATCGTTGAAAAACGTCTTGAAGGGCACGGCCGAGCCAGAGGAAGTGGTAGGGCATTCCCCATTTGCAGACATGCTCGAGGCAATTGCCAAACAGATGCAGTTGGAGGCGCCGTTGCCAGATGGTGCTGACCCCACATCTAGCGTTGTTCTCGGCAGTGATGAAGGCGATGCCCAGCCTTTGAAAGACAACGAAGTTGCTTTGACCGATTTGGTGCCCAACGCCGGTGAGCATGACCCTGACGCACTCCGAGAGCATCTTCAAGCTCTGGAGCGCAGGATGAAGCAATTCATCAAGTTTGTCCCCATGTCGGAAAAGTACAAGACCTTAGCTTTGGAGTTTGAAGGCACGGCCCTTGCCACAACGAAGCTGAAGAAGGGCACCCACCCAGTCTTGATCTATGATACCAAGTGCTTCGGCGAGGCAAACTCGCAGGCGCACACTCGAATCCCACCTTTCCAAAAGGACCAACTCAAAACAGTGCTGCGGGCCTGGTGTACGGCCCGTGGCGTGGCGGCTGGTGATGAGAATGAACTTGGAATTGTGCTTGTCTTGGACGGGTTCCGCCCGGGGCTGGAGTCATCCATCGGCCATGCATTCCAAGGACCAGATGGCAAGTTCTATCAGAAGTCTAGGTTTCAGTTCTCGGTGAAGTACACCGAGGAGAGCTTGCTGGCCCGGAAGCAGCTGCAGCGAGGAGTGGTCCAACAAGTCGAATCCTTGCATTGCTTCACTACTGATGGCTTGGTCCTCAAGAAGAAACAGCGTCTGCACAGCAAGGAATCGAACATGGCTTCGATGATCGGAGACATCGTTCTGCCAAAGCATGCAGATGTTTGGCGCCTGGCCCCTGAAGTCAAAAAAGAGGCCCTGGGTCCCAAGATCATGACTGGGGGGGCCTGCGAGGCCAAGTCTCCAAAGCCAGTGTTCAGTGATGCCAAGGAACCGATCTCATGGCATTCTCAAGCAGAAGCTTTCTTCGCAGAAGTGGCCCACTCTTTCTGCGCCGGGGTCCTGGTCCACGCCACCGAGACCGACGGATCATGCGCTGTCCATTGCGTGAAGGCGCAAGTGCCTTATGTGGGGGTGACATACACCCAAAAGCATGCGGACCTATTGTGGGCCGAGTGCCTTCGCCGACTTTGGCGTGATACCTTGGATGACAAGTCGCCCATCTACAATCCAAGCCTGGCAAACTTGCTGGCAGGCACCAATCCAGTTGAGGAAGTTGTGAAGCCGAAAAAGCTCCGCCAGAGCAGGATGAAGAGGAAGATGGGACTGAGGCAGCCCCCGCCAAGAAGAAGAGGCGCAACGCCGGCGGCCCGAAGATCTTGCGCCCCAAGAATGTCTCAGGAGAAGGGGATGATGATGAGCATGAAGAGGGTGCCCATGAGGCCACGATCTTGGCGGAGCTCCAGAAGCTTGCTGATGGCGAAGGAGATGAGGAGTGAATCAATCGATGTGAAGCCTAGCTTAGCTTTACCGGATGCGTCCCAGTGCTTGTTTTGATTTTGTTGCAGTGGAACATGCAAAGCATTTTAATACCAGTGATCGGCGAAAATTCTACCATGTATCATTGTCAATCAGGCATCAAGTGTTCCACGACGCAGTGCTTTGCATTTCGGCTATTGGGTTTTGCCGGCAATGCGCTCCAAGAGCAGACTGCCAATCATGAATTGCATCTGGTTGGCTGAAACTGGCCAACAGCTTACAGTAGTCAGCAGCGACTGGCTCGGTCATTGACATCATTCGGCTTTTGGACGGCACAGGGGCCGCCTGCCAGCTTGAACTGTGACATGTTCAAAGTCATGACATTGCCATTCATTTACAGTTTTTTCCGTGTTTTCATCTATGTCAAAATTTGGCAGGGCGGGCACATGAAAGTCCAGTCGGTGTCATTGCAATAGACAGGAGACGAGGTCCAAAGAAAATGTCATTGGATTTTGTGGGCAGCTTGCTGTTCTGATGTCACAAGCCTTAAGCTGATTCTTGAGCCCCATCTTCAAAATACCGCGGCGGGCTGAGGTTTCGCACAAGCATGGCTTAGCTGCTCGGGCGCCTGGCTGGAGAAGTCGCTGGGAGCCATCCTATTTGTTTTGGATGGCAACTGGAACAATCAAACGATGAAGCTGTTTGGCTACAGTGTGACCGATTTTAGTAACCCATTCATTGTCATTGTCACTGTTCTGATTTGATTTCTGAAGCCATGGCACCCAAGAGGGTGCAGAATCGGCAGCTGAAACAGAAACCGGCAGCGGCGGTCCAGCTTCTGAAGCAACCCCGGCCCAATCAGATGCAAAAAGTCGAGAATGCAATGAAGAGCATGATGAAGTGGATTTTGGCAACTGCGGCCGGCACCATTGCCGCAGTGTGCCCTGAGATTCACCCTCGCGGCCGCCTCATCGTCGGCAGCGCCTGCTCTGGCATATCGGCAGAACTGATGGCCCTGGACTGGCTCAACGTCAAGTATGTTGCATGTTTTGGGTGTGAGTGCGAAGAGCACTTGAGACGGCTCTCTGGTGACATGCATGGCTATTGTCAGATGTACGATGATGTTCGTTCTCTTAATTATTTGTCATCTCCAACATGCGATCTGTTCGTTGCCGGCTTTCCATGCCAGCCCTACAGTGCAGCTGGAAGTGGCCAAGGTGCTTCAGACAAGTCATCAGGACAGATCATGATGTCACTGGCCCGTTGGCTTTTTGTTCACAGGCCAAAGGCATTTGTGCTTGAAAACGTTCCCGGCCTGCTTCACCGGCACCCATCCACCTTGCTTCTTCTGATTTCAGTCCTGCAAGCGCTGCGCAACCCCAATGGCAGAAACATGTACCAGGTTTCTTGGAGAGTTCTACATTCTGCAACTCATGGCTTCATACCGCAAAACAGATCCAGGCTATTCATTGTTGGTCTTCGTGCTGACTGCCCATTGACTATGGTGTGGCCTAATGAGGCATGTTGATTGAAAGTTGAAGGTTTAAAAAGATACTGTGTTGTCTTGTTGTCATTATTCGACTTGTAATTAACATTTACTTTGATTTTAAACCATCGATTGTTTACGCAGATCATGTCATATCAGGTCGTTTTTCTTCACCCGGCAGGTGCAGCCTGCTCCGTTGGGCCGGTTTCTCCAAAACAAGCTGTCTGCAAAGACTGCTGCTGAACTTGGAATTGACCGCCGCTCCCTCAACAAGACTGAGCGCCTGAACTTGAGTGCTGTTCTTCAGAGCCTCAAGGGGGTCGACCTGGCCAAGGAGAAGTGGGTGGCTGACATCAGCGGATCGAAGGCTCACAAGATGAAGGGCATATCTCCTACTCTTACGAAATCACGTGCCCAATCAAAAGGTTTTTGGCTCACTTGGCTGAACCGTAAGATGACGACCGAGGAAATTTTGAAACTGCAGGGAATCGATCCCGACATCATTCCTCCCGGGGTTGTCTCTGAGAGGCAGGTCAGGGGAGCAGCTGGTAACAGCATCCCAATCCCTCTTTTGGCCCGTTTGCTCAAGCAAGTCTTGACTGCAATGGGGCATGACGTCTAAGTCTGAACTGATGGCCGGGTGAAAATTAAACGCGGCCGAGCCGTGCTTTTTTATCCATGTTTTTCATGTTGGCTTTGGTTGACTCAGGCGTCATGTCGACGTACTTCTGGTAAACCCGAAATGAAGTGATTTGAGCGTAGGCCATCCCAATGTGGGGGCTCAACCCACTTTCTGCATAAGCAGTGATTGCATGTCTCCGGCCACTGTGTGATCGTATGGTTTTTCCAGTTTCCAGGTCTGGGTACTTGTGGGCATACTTTTTGAGAAAGCTTTTCCGAGCCTTTGCCACTGTATGTGCAACCACAAACCTCGTCATGTAGGGTTTTTTTGCGCCCCGCCGTGCCGGGAACAGATAGCCACGTTTAGGCCATTGGAAATTTTGTTTCTCTGACGAATCCACACCCTTGAGCTTGATGGTTTGCAAAGCTTGCCGCACTGAGGGAACCAAAGGCTTCTTCACTGCGGAGTGCCCTTTGAAGGCAGCGATAAACACGGTCTGGGCCTTGAAGTCAAAGTGTGACGCTTGCAATTGCAAGGCTTGGGAAATTCGTATGCAGAGGGCCTGGGTCAAATACAATGCCAAGAAATATTTGCCTCCATAATGGTCACGGACATGGTGAAGCCAGTCAATCCACCGATTGCCATTCAATGGGTTTGCTTGGCCCAACTTTGGGGCTTTGGAGGGCATGTCGCAGAAACACCGGTTTTACAAACTGAACTTTGAGCCGCTGAAACCCCAGAAATCCCTAGAAGTCACCTTTGGGCGCCAATCCCTAGAAGTCACTCATGTAAATTCAAATATCTGGTCATGTAAATTTATCTGAACTCCAGGAGTCTGACACCTTTGACAGTTTGTTCTGAAGTTCAAAAAAGCCAGTGACGCGACTAGACTGACATCCCAGAAATCCTAAGAAGTAACTTCGAAAAGCACTGAAACCCCAGAAATCCCTAGAAGTCACCTTTGGGCGCCAAAAGGTGACTTAAATGTTCATCAGAAAACTGATTAATTGGGGTTATTGGATCAACAATCTTTACAAAAGGTGACTTAATATTTCACCCAAACACCAACCAGCAAATCATTGTTTTAAGTCAGGTGAAAGTTGCTCTCCTTTCCATATGTTTTAAGGTCCGGTGATTTTAAGATTCTATGGGTAATTTTTTGGGCGGGTGGGTCATGCCATACATTGAGCAAAAGGAGCTGAGACAGCGCCTTAAGATGAAAAGGAGCTGAGATAGCGCCTTTAAAATCATGAAAAGGAGCTGAGATAGCGCCCTTAAAATCATGAAAAGGAGCTGGGACAGCGCCTGAAACTTAGTAAGAGACCGCCGTGCTTCCATTATGCCTTTGGATTGCTAAAATAAAAAACAGTCGCCGCAGCCACCCAAGGGCCTCCATCGTGATCGTCAGCTTCATTACTGCGGCAGAGCGTGCAGGCCTCATCCTCAGAAGTGACAGCTAGGAAGCTTCCCCAAAACAAAACACAAATTTAAATTACCAGCCCTCCTGTCACTGTTACATGGCACTATCCCAGCGCCACCGAAACATGTTATGTCAGGGCGCTGTCTCAGCGCCGTCTAAACATGTTAGGGCGCTGTCTCAGCACCACCCAAGCATGTTATAATATTATTACCAGGACGCTGTCTCAGCGCCGCCATGCATCTTCTCATGCCATCTCATTTTCAGTGCCCATCTGAGGTTTTTACGTCGTCCCAGTCGTCCGGGCATCCCAGTCAGCCTCACTTCGCTGCAGCAGGGATTGGTGGTTCGCAACCATTTTGAACTTTACTATTTTCAGAATGGAAATGATATTTATTATAAATAATAAGCGTGATGTGCTAAGAGAGTTGCGCTGACATTGTGGTTCAAAGACGACGGACATTTAAAGTTGAGCTTGTCATTCATTCAGTGGCCAAGTTGTCAATCACTAGGTTTGAAATATCAATGGATGGCCCAATTCCAAAGGCTTCAGAATGCCGCCTGCTGCTTCTGTAACCGTCGTCACCCATCTTGTCCAATGATCATCGTGGGACAGGGACACTACAGACTACAGTGATTTGAGTATAATAAGACTGAGGTATCTGAATTCAAAATTTAAACTCAAGGATAATCTTACGAGGCATGAATTTGATTGACTTCAATATCACAAAGATAACAATCACCAAACCTAAGCTGCCGCCCCTGCTGACGCCAATGGATGGAAAGTCGTCGCTAGGCCTAAGATGACCAAGGAGAAGGAGAGCGGAAAGAAAAAAGACACGCCAGAACACGACACAGCTAGATTGAGAGAAGAGAGGAAGGAAGCAGAGAAGAATAAAAGGGAAGCTGAGGCCGAGCTGAAGAGGAAGGAAGGTGAAGAGAAGAAAAGGAAAGCTGAGGCCCAGCTGAAGAGGAAGGAAGACGAAGAGAAGAAAAGGAAAGCGGAGGCCGAGCTGAAGAGGAAGGAAGACGAAGAGAAGAAAAGGAAAGCTGAGGCCGAGCTGAAGAGGAAGGAAGACGAAGAGAAGAAAAGGAAAGCGGAGGCCGAGCTGAAGAGGAAGGAAGACGAAGAGAATAAAAGGGAAGCTGAGGCCGAGCTGAAGAGGAAGGAAGGTGAAGAGAAGAAAAGGAAAGCTGAGGCCCAGCTGAAGAGGAAGGAAGACGAAGAGAAGAAAAGGAAAGCGGAGGCCGAGCTGAAGAGGAAGGAAGACGAAGAGAAGAAAAGGAAAGCTGAGGCCGAGCTGAAGAGGAAGGAAGACGAAGAGAAGAAAAGGAAAGCTGAGGCTGAGCTGAAGAGGAAGGAAGACGAAGAGAAGAAAAGGAAAGCGGAGGCCGAGCTGAAGAGGAAGGAAGACGAAGAGAAGAAAAGGAGAGCTGAGGCTGAGCTGAAGAGGAAGGAAGACGAAGAGAAGAAAAGGAAAGCTGAAGCCCGAGCTGAAGCTGAAAGGAGGAAGAAACAGAAGGCCGAGGCTGAAGCTGAAGAGCAAAGGAGAAAGGCAGAGGACGAGGAACAACGAAAGCTGAGGGAAGCTGCTATCAAGAGACATGAGGATCAGATGAAGGAAGTTGAGGATGAGGCGAGAGAGAAATGGAAGCAACGACAATTTGCACAGGACTGGAAAAAGAAGGAGGAGAATTGGCAAGGGCAGTGGGATGAGAAGTGGCAACGCCGGCAGTCGAATAATAGTTGGCGGCAACAGGACAGGCAGCAACAGTGGCATGGACCTGAAGCAGCAGCATCTACGACGACAAAGCCCCCAGCTCCAAAAGAAATGCCAAAGATGCCAAAGCAGGTGCATGGCACTGTCAGTGTCATGGTTTCCACCCCCAAGTGGTCGTCTGCAGCACCGCCTGAGCCCCGACACCCCCCCAAGCACAAGCCACCGCCGCCACCGTTGCCGCATCCACCCCAGGGCACTGCTGCGACGAATCAGCAGCAGCACCAGCAGCAAGCCACGCAAGGCCAGCAGCAGCAAGCAGCAATGCCAATGCAGCAGCAGCAGCAGCAAGCCATGCAAGGCCAGCAGCAGCAGCAAGCCATGCAAGGCCAGCAGCAGCAGCAAGCCATGCAAGGCCAGCAGCAGCAAGCGGCAATGCCAATGCAGCAGCAGCAGCAGCAACAACAAGATGCCATGACAATGCAGCAGCACCTGATTCAGCAGCACATGATGCAGCAACAGTGTCAGGCCCTGCAAATGGAAGCCTGGCAGCAGGTGCAGTGGCAGCAGCAGATGCAACTGCAAGCTGCGGCCTCAGCCGCAGCAGCAGCAGCCGCCGCTGCTGCAGCAGCAAAAGACGAGGAGAAGCAGAAGCCTCAGGACAAGCAGAACCAGAAACTTGACAAGAAGCAAGGCAACAAAGGGCCCAGAGACGAGGCTGAGGCTGATGATGGTGCCGTGACCAACAACGAAGATGCCACTCTGGCCAGCGGTAGTAAGGAGAGGCCGAAGCCTGAAGACGAGGAGGAAGAGGAGGAGGATGATTCCTCAAGCAGCGACGACGATGACGGTCGCAAGGGCAAGGGCAAGGCCAAAGGAAAATCCAAGTGGTCATGGTCATGGGGATGGCCATGGTGGGAAGCCGGCGGCGAGAAGAAAAAGAACAAGAAGAAGGGCAAGGATAAGAGGACAAGACCTTCCAGGCTGAGAGGGTTGGAGAACAGAGACGGCCAGCAGATTATCAGCCTGAAAGCAAAGGTCACACGGCTGGAAAAAGAGCTGGAGGCCGGACACATTTCAGAGATTTATTTTAAGGCTGTGTCACAACAATGACATATTTCATTAATTATGAGTTGACAAATTTCAGATCTGAAGTTGTTTTCATTGGTTGGCTTTCTAAATAGCTTTGCTGTCAGGAGCAGCAGCATCGACACCGGCTTTGGCAGGAGGACTGACAAACACGTTGACGACAAGCGCAATTACCTACTTCATCATCAGCGTTGTTGAATACTAAAACGGTTTTTGGTCTTGCCATCACTGTCCTCAGGAGTTCATTGAGCAAAAGCGCAAGGAGAAGAAGGACAGACCCTGATGACACTTACTAATGACTGGCTTTGTTTTGTCAAGTTCAAGAGAACTCTTAGAAGCCATTTTAAACAAGTTGATTTTTTGGCAACGACGAGTCGTCCTTGACAACGCTCAGGAGTTGGAAAACGAACACGCAGCCCAGATGAAGGCTCATTCCACGGTTCTCTAGTCTTCAAGTCAAGTTCTCGGTCTTGAGTTTGCGCGATGTTTCTGATTCTCTTCCGTTTTGCTTGAATTGGTTGATTAATTTTGTTCCTCTCACTTCGTCATTCATTGCGGGCCAGGCCGTGCATGAGTTCTACGCTCGGCAGTGGCAGCGGCAGCAGGCAAGACTCTCAAATTTCACGTCGTTGAGAAAGGTTCAGTTTCAGATTCTGTGCCACGTTTCAAGTTTTTAACAGTCCCAATTTGCAAAGTTTGACATTGTCGACGAAGGACCAACGGCGATGAAATTCAAAATCTGAAGGGCAGCTTAGGTTTGGCGAAGACACATGAGACAACAAATAATTGGCAGGAACAGTGACAGGGACAAACCCAGAGAATTCAAACCAATGACTCAGCATATCTCAACATTCAATGAGTCGGTCGTTTCAATGAGACCAAACATCATAGCGGCACGGCGGCGTCTGAGAACAATTCAGACGGGCGCTGGACTGGTAAGCCGTCGTATGTTGTTTACAAACAAAGGCTTTAAAGCTAAATCTACCAGTATCTGCCATCTATATTTGACGACTTGCCAGCCAGGAGCCATCGATATTTTCTCCAATGCGGCGGTGGTGCAATTGACATTTAATTGAAGTAATTTAATATCATTTGAACTTCAATTGCTGTTAAAGAAAATGTCATATCCCATTGACAAACCGCCAGATGCTGTTCTGTCAAACCACCGCCGCTCAATCTTTTGGTTCTTCGTCATTTGCAACATTGACAGTGCATAGCGCGTCAAAAAAATAACCCAGTGGCAGAAACCGCATGGGACTCAACCACACCAGATTTGAATTTTCTCTTATCTCAAATGTGGGTTGACATCACTGTCACAGGACAGTTGACATTAAATGACTGTTGGCTGAAACTTGACCCTAGCGGTGCGGCCAAGGAACTATCAGAAGCCGTCTGGTGTGGCCACGGTTGCCATGGTTGCCACGGGGCCTCAGTAATTTAGGTTGGTACATGGGCCCCAGGGAGACTAGCGCTATCTCAGCTCTAGCCTACCTGCGGCAGTTTTAGAGCCGTGCTGTCTCAGCTCTGGCTTCTAATAAAGTCTAGGGCGCACCCAGTCTGGCAAGAAGCGCTCTCGCAGCGCTTGCTTGCTGTAGTCTTCAAGTGTCGCAATGATTGTTTTTCTAGCAACCAATGCTGTCTCAGCTCTGGTGCACAGTCTGAAGCGCTATCTTCGTAGCTCTTCCTAAAACAATTTGCTATCCCAGCAAAAATGCATAACAACATGCAGCGCTGTCGCAGCGCTTCACATGGCGTTTTTTTGTTCCGTCCTGCCCCCCCCAAATATATATATATACATATACATGCATTTAGAAATATTTATTGATTTTACTTTGATTGGCGCAAACCGTCAAGATAGAAGCCGTGATATGAACATTGAAAACATCCTATTTTTCCTTGATAGTTTGAGCCCTTTTTTTTCTGAAAAATACATCAGACTGTCAAAAACTGAAAAGTTAGCCTTCGTGACGAACATTTGAAATGCAACCGCGTGGTCCTTGGTTTTCATACTTCGTACCTTTTTGAAACTTGGTTTTCTAAATACCATGTATGTCATTAAACTAAAAGAGATTCTTCAGCTGGCTCAAGTTCCGATGATGAAAACTTCTAAAAAGAAACATTGAACATGTCATTTTTCATCCCCTCTTCCTTGAAAATATTGTTTTTCAAAGCCAACTTCACTCATTCACTCGGACTTAAGCACCAGCAAGATGAACTCAGCTGTTCATGGAAGGGACGTGCTTGTCCTCGCAGGCTGGTACATGATGCGAGAACTGCCAGTTGCAGATGGTCGCACATCTACATTGAAGTTTCGACGCTCAATCTTCTCCTTGCAATGCAGACACGGCTGGCTCATTGACCATTAGGTCTCTACGATGCGCTTGCAGGATTCGTCTTCACCCATTATGATTGGCGGCCAAGACGCCTGAACCGGCTTCGGTCCCATCCCTCCTTCATGGCCCAGACGGAGTTTCCAAACACCATCCAAACACTACATGATCCAGTTCTTCCGCAGGACCATCGCTCAGAGCGGGACACCAACAACCCGTCCCAATGCAGAGCTTGTTGAGACCGAAAGGTTTTCCGGTCATTCGCTGAGGGTGTCGGGGGCCGAGTGGTTGTCCCGACTCGGGATGCGGAAGATGGACCTGGAGCTCAGCAGCCGTGGAGAAGTACATCGGATGGCGCCGTTGCTGAAAGAAGGGGCCAGAACAATGATCAGATTCAGCAAGACGATCTGGTGCATCCACCCGCAGACAGCGTGACGATGAACAACACCGAGAACCTGAGGCCGCACGAGATGATGATGCGATCCAGGACCCGATTGAAGAACACCAGGGAGAGGCGGCCGACATCCTCTCTCTCCGAGCACAAGTGGCATCTCTGCGACAGGTGGTGATGGAGCCTTCTCAGGTCTTGCTGCACCGGGCCAAGTCTCACATAGTCCATGTAGGATCGGTTTCCGAGAGTTCCAGACATCCTGTGCATTGGCAAACCAAGTGTGGTTGTTGATATGGATTGACCAATTTTTATTGCATCCAGCGCATGCAGCAAACAGGATTCCGTGGGTGCCGCAAGTGCTTTCGTGATTTTGAAGCTTATTTGACATCTGGATCTGATGACAGTTCAGGTTCCTCCGGAGACGTAGAGTCCTCTTCTTTGTCCGAGTATATATAAGAGTGAAGGGAATCTCATGGGGACTTGGCTTTCCGTGATCTGCAGATATTTTTCCATTAGTGCATTTGTCACCTGTTATCTCTTGTTGATGACAGGGGGATCATGGATACCACCGATTCACCCCATCCCAGCAGGCGGGTGGGGAACAGGGCATTTCAGTCTGTCTTGAGTGGTTTTGATTCTACCTCATCTTCATGTCTTGTCATAGTGGTTTTAGTTGTCCTGTGGTACCATGACAGGGGGCTCATGGATACCACCAGTTGGGGCACACCCTAGCCCAGCAGGCGGCTTAGGGATCAGACGGTCGTGTATTGATTTATTGATTTCTCTGTTTGGCACAAGAATTTAGTTGAATGGATGCATCACTGTTGATTGATATCATTTTCTGTTTGTCAGTTGCACCTAGCCATGCGACAAGTTGTTGTGACTGCAGATGCCTTATATATATACACAAGTGACGAGCAATGGTCGCCGCAGCAACGACATCGCCTGCGAGCTAGCTGCGATGACGCTGGCAGACTTAGCCAACAGCGCAGGGGTCTGTTAGACCATCACTGGAGGCCAGAGGCATCAGAACCACACCGACCGGCTCTGATCGCAACAGACAGGGACAACTTCTTGTCTCAGATCGTGGGGCCACTGTTGGACAGGTACCAGAAGGGCACGGTCCGAATCACAGTGGAGGAGAAAAGCCGATAGCACAGGCTGTCCTCGAACATATGTGGCGAGAGGTCCAACTTCAATGGCAGCGGCGGCAAGCAGCGATTCCGTTGGTGGCATCCAGTCTCAGCACACCACAGCGATCTACTCCGCCTGGGACGGCTGCGGGAAGCAACCCCATGGCAGAAGGGCAGAATCTGGCACGAGCACACCGCCACCAGAGTCGGCTTGGGCGAAATCCTTCATCACTGCATCGGGTGACGAGGTGAATCCTTTCCAGAAGCAGCTAAAGCCAGAGGCCACCCGGCTGCTGCGCATCGAGGAGGACCAGATTGTCCAGGACGATGACGCCAAGACGTGGACCCCTCGGTCCATGCTGGCCCTGATGGATGGAGTGAACTCAGTGAGATGGGCTTGGATCTTATTCCAGTTGGGCGAGGAGGTGCGCACATCCACACCTTCGCTGACTGCCATGGTTCATCCAGAAAATTCGAGCCCGCCCCAACAAGCTGGAGAATATGAGGCTCTTCTGGGAAGCGGGATGGTGCATTGCTATGGGCATGCGAGCCAGTCATTCGGAGCAGTGACCGCTGAGGTGGATTTGCTGAACGAGTCCATGAGCAAGTAGCCACCGCGCAAGACCAAGCCCAACATCACCAAGAAGTGGCGTTCGGCTGGAGATGACATCGGGCCACAGCCGCAGAGGACTAAAACTTCATACGGATGCAACAGTGGAACCAATGCCAAAGGTTCCAAGAGAAGGGCAAGTCCAACCATGGGCAGTACAGCAACTTTCAGAGATGGAAGTCAGGGTCATGGCATCAGCAGCATCACCATGCTGGAGGCCACGACCAACACCAGGGTCGCTGGGAACAGCACGGGGCCGTTGAACGATGTTTGGCGGTACCCGACCGAATCTCAGAGAGCTTTTGGACAGACTGAGATCGAGGGCAAACCACCCACCACTGATTCTGTTGTCATTCTGTGGTGGCATCGGGTCAGCTCGCTTTGGGCATGGGAGATTGACAACGAATGCGTCCAAGTCACCAAACTCTGGTTCCCTGACACGGTGCATCGAAGATGCTTCATTAATGACGACTACACAGAGGTCGTCAACTTGATCAAGAAGGCCGGCCCCGAACACAAATGTGTCCTCCTCATCACAGCGGGGAATGTCCAGACTACTCAGTGCAGGCCGAAGGGCGCAACTTGCCAGAGGGGGGCCAAGTTCACCGAGTTTGTGGACAAAGTTACAGAGTTGCAGAGCGCTTTGCCAGAGCACAGGTTCCTCACCGCTGCCGAGAACGTCATTATGAATGACCCCTCGGACTGCAAGTTCATTTCCGAGATGATCGGGGCCGATCCGGTATAGCCATTGGATTCTACCGATTGCTCCATGGTCTCCAGACCGAGATTGTGGTGGGCTCGGTTGGACTGGCAAGGAGTGAAAACACACCCTTTGACAGGTCAAAAGATCCAGTGGAGTCAACACAATGGACACCGACAAGTCAAACCGGGACTCCCACAACAGGAGGTCGCAAACTTTGCCATGGGCGGCCTGAAGTTTCACGAGGCTGTCATTGAAGGCCGCCATAGAATCCTGTGCTTTACAACTCCGAGTCCGGATCCTTTGGGAAGACCACCACCACAGAAACACCGTCTTCGCACAACCGAGGAGGCCAGACAGAGATGGTTGGGGGACAACAGACAGTTTGCCCCGTGGCAATACGATGACCACACCATGGCATGGCGAGGCAATGAAGCGGTGGTCATATACCTGTCCGAAGGAACAGCTCCACAACTACCCACCAGGGTACATACGCATCCCAGGGGTGCAACACCGCACGAGACACAAGATGCTGGCCAACTCTTAAGAGGCATCTCTCGGTGACTTTGGTCATCTTGTCCATCATGATCCAGGCAGCACAGTGTGCGGCGCCAGTGGTCCCAAGAGCAGTTTCCGTCAGTGTGATCCAGCAGGTGGTCCATGCAATTGGGCAACTCCACCATGGCCAGGGACCGGGCCAATGCATTAATTCAGCTAGAGCCAGGCAGTTGTGGCCTCAGCTGAACGAGATTCGCAGTGCGGTGGTTCAGGAGCTGGGTGACATGATCTTGGAATGGGAGCACACCACCAGTGCATGGTGTGAGAGCCTCCCGGTAGAACTGCAGTCACAGTGTACACCACCAATGGGCAAAAGACTGTCACCCCCGGTGCTCATCGAGCTCCTTCGCCAGGCTGGTCATCAAGGAGCTGAAGCATTCATGGACGAGCCGTCGCACAGTTTCGAAATGACTGGGCCCCTGGCACTGGGCACTGGATGGCTCAACCGAGCGGATTCATCACCATTTTCGACCCAGGAGTTCCAAGATATGAGCCTGAGATACGTTCAGGACAAGCTACAGACGGCCAAGCCGAGCCCATGCTGAATGAGCTCCTGGATGAGAGGGACAAAGGCCGAGTGGAGGGTCCACTGGAGGCACCCACAATTGGGAGCTACGCCTCCGGAGGACAGAAGCGGGAGAGCCTTCACCAGCTCCAGCGACACAGGCGGCCATAGCCGTGCTGCAGAGCGACAAAGTCCGTCGTTGTGAGGACTTTAGAAAGAGCGCTCACAATGCGACAGTACGAGCTGACGCCTGTCCACACTACTACAGCGATGTGGAGAGCTACGTGGCCGTGATACGCCATTTACAGAGGTTAGGCTACAGCGGCTCCTTGGTATGGGGTCAAGACTTGAGTGGGGCCCTGGAGAGACAGCATACACTGTGCTGATGTTGCCCGAGTGGTCCCTCCCTGTGGAAGCACAGGGCTACTCCATTTGGAGCCGTGACCAGCGTGTTGTCATTTTGTCATTTTGGAGACAGCTTGACCTCTCTGTCCAGGCGTCTTTTGGTGATCCTCACTGGCCATTTTGTTGATGGCTGGACGGGGGTCGAACTGGAGGTCACGGCGCACAGCTCTTGCACGACCTTCAAGTCCTTCTTTCAACATCAGGGCCTTGCGATGAAGACATAGAAGGAACAACCACCGGCATCCAAACAGAAGGCATTGGGCGTCATCATGCACGTCCAAGACCATTTGGTGACAGTTGAAATGCGCCCCAAGCGCAGCCAGAAGATCGTTTCGATGCTGGAAGACCTTTTGGCATCCAACCACCTGTCCCATGACGAGGCTCAACGTCTAGCGGGCAAACTGGGCTTCATGGCCATTACCTTGTTTGGTGGGATGGGGATGGCTGCCATCCAACCGTTCTATGCCAGAGCACACTGTTTGGGAGAACAGGAGAACAACCAATTGATGTTCGCCAGTCGGGCATCCGTCAACATCTTGAAACAGCTCATGCAAGACACCAGGCCGAGGACTTTTTCCTGGCATGTGGACGACGTGACCCACAAGCCATCATCTACTCCGACGCCTTCTTCCAGGTTGGTGAGAAGATCTGGCGCCCTCGAGACGCCCCGGAACTATGGAACCCGAAGAAGCGGAAACCCAAGACAAATGGATGGGGATTCGTGGCAAGGCTCCGCGACAAGGTGCTTTATGCTCATGGAGAGCTCCCAGACACCTTCATCGAGAAGTTTGTCTCGAGGAAAGCATTCATCGACATGATGGAGATTCTGGCCGCTGTCACGGCGGTAACCTTCTTGCGGCAATGGCTGCCACCTTACTTCGTGATGTTCATCGACAACCAGGTCGGGAAGAGCGCTCTCCAGAAGGGTTACGGAAGTGACCAGAGGGTGAACGCGATCATCACTGCTTTTTGGGCCTTGGTCTCACACGAGGCATGGTTCCCGGCATTTTAATATGTCAGAAGCGAGCTCAACATCAGCGACCCTGTCAGCCGACATGACACGGCTTTCGCTACAACCATGGGTTGGGAAGAGATGGAGGTCGACACCACTGATTTCCTACAAAGCTTGGAGAAGTTTTCCCGAGATCCCGATGGCTCCATTCAGGGTTTGCCCGAAAACTTGCTGGCAATTGGAAGGATACCGAGTGGGGTGGGTGATGTGCACGGTGTGGAAGAGAACTTGCACAACCACCTATATAAGACCCCGCAACTCCAGACAAGACATGACAAGAGCAACCAGCAGAAAATGGAGAAAAGGAATGGAGCGCCTGCAAGCACGGTGCAAACTTGACCGACAGCTGACACATGTCGACGTTTTTTTTAAAGTTTCATTTTCTAGAGAAATCAGATTTTGATGTGTTTTTGTCGATTTCTTGGTTCGAGTTTGTTTTCCCTTCCCATTCATTTTCTAGAGTATACATCTGACAAAAACGCTGATCTTCTTCAAGTGACAATTTTCACCACCTCATTTTCTAGAAGAATTTCCATCATGTTGAACCAGATTCCATTTTCTAGTGCTCAGTCATTTTCTAGGATTAAAAAGGTTAAAAAGTTAAAAATCATATTTTCCAGAAAAGAAGGTCAAAATTCTTATTTTCTAGAAAAGATTATTTTCAAAAATCCTGTTGAATCCAACCCATCACATTTTCTAGAAGGCATACATAGGCATACATGGCATACATAGGCTAGATATGAATAGATGCATGTAGCTCCATGATTTAAGCTGAGATTCTTTTGCCAGCTCATTGAAACAATATGTCTCTGTCCACGTGCTCCAGCTGTGAATCAATGCAGTGTATAGCGATCCGTGCACAGTCTTGCACTGAGGATAGTTGAGAAGACAGATGCCGCCCGAAAAAATAGTGGAGCCTCACTTTCTCTTACGCATTTTATAGAAATATATTTTTGAAACTAATCCCGGCATTTTCTAGAGATGCTACTTGTCTCCCGGTTTTGAAGGCATTTTTTAGAGATAAAATTCTGAACATTGTCCCACACATTATCTAGACATGCTTTCTGTCTCCTAATTTTCGTGGCATTTACTAGACAAAAAACGACAAAAAATGCTCGTGCCCTTTTTCTTTAAACATGTCATGTTCTATTTTTTTGAACAAAAAACAAAAAAGTCCGAACATTTTTGCTTTATAGAGAATGTGTCTGATAGTGGCTCCGAGTACACCCCCTTCAAAAAATGGTTGGGGCATTTTCAAGAAGATTCTATAGCATTTTCTATATGGTTTTAGCGAACCGGTAGTTTTCTATAGAAAAGGAGGCTGCTCAGGTTCCCCCTCTAATTCGGACGGGGATGCATATTCATGCATATTCTAGCAGATGCTCAATTATCCTCACTGAGCACCCCCTATTTTAATCTTGTCCATGAAGATCATGAAGCGGCAGGTTTGGTCTCCTCTTTCGAGGGCACTAAGAAGCGAGCCACCCTAGGCGAGAGCCTCACCCCATCGTAACCAGAAGCAGCTTGCTTCTAAACTTGTTCTCGAAATTAATGTCTTTCACCAATTTTCTTCTACACCGCTAGTTTAAGATACTTCAAGGGTCTTGCATGAGTTCTTTGTAGACGGATCTTTCATGAGTTCTTTGTAAACACCGTAGACACAGATGCCTTGATGCGCTGTTTGCTCTGATGTTTTCCCGCTTTCCCAGGTGACAAGCTGCTCTTGTTGGAGATAGTGCAGATGGACTCCTTCAAGCCGCAAAAGCCTCAGCTGCCACTAGCAGTGCCTTTGGGCAAGTGTTGCATGGGGATGCATGGGCGGGTTTGCTGCGGACTGCTGCAGTGGGCAGCCTATAATGCCCTTTTCCCCTTGAGCTACGAAGCCTCCAGGATGCAACGATATGTCGACTCGTACAAGAGTAAAGCCATCAAGGCCGTGATGATGCAATGCAACAATTCTTTGCTGCAATCCAAGGATGCACCGGTTGTTTCATTTGAAAGCCATTTGTACTTATTTTCCCACACTTTTGAGTGTCTTTGACATTCACTTGGCCATCGTCAAACACAGTCCTGCGTCATGCACATTGACAAGGCCCCTAAAGATATCGGCGCCATGTGCAATCTTCTCTTCGCAGAAGGCAAGCAGACTACACAGTACCGTAGGATCTGTAGGTGCCGCGGAGGCTTCTTGTGTTTTTCTGCATTTTTTTGCTACCATCAGGAATAAGTGGAGTGCTGATCAACGAGTTCCCAGTGCAGGTGCGTAAATCAGACCCTCCATGCCCCCGGTGAGCATTGCATAGTTCCTCAATGATTATCACCAAAGCATAACCCCCCAAAAAAAGAGTAAACATCACCCAACTCCCGAGGCTTATGGTCTATGCTGGCTCAGATACATGTGGCCTATGACTCCCAATGAGTTTTGCCGTGCGCAGGTTGCTTGTGCCTCCTGCTGGCGAACAAGATCTGACTTGCTCTCATGGTGCCCCAATTTGCAGAGGTAGTGCGGGCTCTTTGATATTTGTGGACTAGCTTACGATCCCTGGTGGATTTGCCTAGCTGCCTTTCTTCAACTAGTAACTAGTTTGATTTGATATCATTATGAAATTGAAATGGATCTTAAATTGATTGGTATGATGCATCATTTAACTGCGCATATGCAAATTACAATATTATATATATATATATTATTATAGTTATATATATATGTCTATGTTGGCCAACCTGAGGCTATGCCCAACGCAAGAAATCAGTTTGCGATCTGCCATGGAATCAAAGCTGAATGAATTAGGAAAATTTTACCTCCAGGGTCTTTCGGCTCAAGTCATTTGGTTGCGAGACCCTGAAGGGTAGAATTTTCCTAATTCATTCAGCTTTGTTTCCATGGCAGATCGCGAACTCATTTCTTGCATCGGGTATAGCCTCATGTTGGCCAAACGCCAAGGCCTAGAAACTGATGCGTATCATCTTTCGCATGGACTTTATATACATACTCGTTGGCTCAGAGTGGCGGTGCCTGCTTGATGAAGCGGATCCCTCTAAACACTGCTTTGGGTTTGGATGAAGTCACCGCAAGTGATGAACATCGAGATGCAGCAGGGTGCTTCGTGGGCAATGCACTGTCCGCAGATGTCTCTACCATGGTGCTGGGATTCCGCCGTGACCAACCCACCCAGATTTGCAAATAATGTCGATGGAGGACTTCCACCCTATCATTGGCAAAATCGAAAAAGATTTGGTTGAGAAGTTAACGGCGCACATGCAACCTCCTCCTAGCTCCAATCCATCCGACAAGGAAAGGAACAGTTCCAATGCTGGAGCTTCGGTGAGTGAAAATTCGCATGCTCCGCCATTCAGTTGTTGCGATCAGGTAGCATCAGCTGCGACGCCACCTGCCCAGTCTATCTATCTACCTATCTACCTATCTATCTATCTGTCTATCTATCTATCTATCTATCTATCTATCTATCTATCTTATATATATATATCTCTCTCTATCTATCTATCTATCTATCTATCTATCTTATATATATATCTCTCTCTCTATCTTTTTATCTCTCTATCCCTCTATCTCTCTACCTCTATCTAGCAATCTCTCTCTCTCTCTCTCTCTATCTCTCTACCTATCTATTTATCTATCTATCTTTCTTTCTTTCTTTCTTTCTTTCCTTCTTTCTTTCTTTCGTGCTTTCTTTCTTTCTTTCTTTCTTTCTTTCTTTCTTATCTCTCTCTCTCTCTCTTTTCATCTCTCTATCTCTCTGTCTCTGTATCTCTCTATCTCTCTGTCTCTCTCTATCTCTCTCTCTCTCTATCTCTCTATCTCTCTCTCTATCTCTCTATCTCTCTATCTCTCTATCTCTCTATCTCTCTAACTATCTATCTATCTATCTGTCTGTCTGTCTGTCTGTCTATCTGTCTATTTGTCTATCTGTCTATCTGTCTATCTGTCTATCTGTCTATCTATCGATCTATCTTTCTATCTGTCTATCTGTCTATCTATCGATCTATCTTTCTATCTTTCTATCTTTCTATCTTTCTATCTTTCTATCTCTCTCTATCTCTATCTATCTATCTATCTCTCTCTCTCTATCTACCTACCTACCTACCTACCTACATACATACCTAATCTATCTATCTAGCTATCTATCTATCCATCCATCCCCATGGCTTGGGCCCAGCATTTCATAGAACAGATGAGCTCCAAACCACAAAGATTACGCTGTCAATGTTTTTCAATCAGAATAAGTATTCTCTCTATCTATCGTTCTCTCTATCTATGCTTGTGTAGTGATGTATGTGGCGTTTGTACGTTTTTGTGTTAAATATATCCCGTCCTCCCGTCACTGCATTTTTCATGGTGATTAAACAGCCTACAAGCTGACACATCTTCGTGCTTTGACCAGTCCAAGGCCTTTGTATGTACAACCATAGAAGCCCAGAAGTTGGAGTGACATTGGATCTAGAGTGCAACAATAAGTGTGTGTGTGTAGTTGCCAACTGCAGCGCTGCAGTGTGCCCGGGCGTTTTCCTGTGTTTTTTTACCCATGTGGCCTTCTTCACATGCGTCTTTTGCACTGCGTGCTTCTCCTGTGTCATGGTCGCTGGGGTGCGTGAGGTGGGTGGGTGGAGGGGTCGAGGGGTGGGGAGGGGTGCGGCTAATAACGTTCAATGTCTGCTGAGTTCAGAAGTGACGCTGTGCTATTGATCTTTGCTTCTACACTTGCCATCAGAAGTGATGCTACGCTAGTGATCTTTGTTTTTCAATTTGCCATCTGAAGTGATGCTACCCCATTGACCTTTGCATTGCTTTTCGACTTGGGCCGGAAATTATTCTAATGCTATTGTATTGATCTTTGCTTCGGCGCTTGCCATCAGAAGTGATGCTGCGCTATTGACCTTTGCTTTGACACTTGCCATCAGAAGTGATGCTACGCTATTGGTCTTTGCTTCGACATGTGCCATCAGAAGTGATGCGGCGCTATTGATCTATGCCGCAAGAATTTGCGGAAGTTGGTCGCCGTCAGCAAATTGTTTCACAATCAGACCTGGGTTTCTACGGATCAAAGCAGTTTTTGGCAATGAGAAAAAGGGCGCTTCCAACATCGATGTGCGTTTACAGGGGGGGATGAAAGCAAGAGCCTTGGGGTTACCAGGTGCCTCTCAGCGCCGCTACCGTGTAGTTCTACGCTAAACCTTTTATATGCATATATGGTGGCATATCTCCATGTACTTGCCTGTCTATCTGTTTGTCCGTCCATTTGTCCGTGTGTGCGTGTGTGCGTCGATCGATCTATCCAATCTAATATATGCTACGTAATCTAAATCTAGTCCAATCGAATCTAAACTATGCAAATCTAACCTGTTTGTTTGTTCGTTCCTTCGTTTGTTTGTTTGTCTATCGATTGGTTTATTCATTTTTCCATCTTTTTCTCCGTCTATCTGTCTGTCCATCTACTTAAAAAAATCTATATGCAGAATTATGCAGTGTTATGCATATATACATGGTGATCGATCTAAAGGTCCTTGTAAGGAGTTTTAATTGCGAAAGCCGTGCATGTTATGTTGGAAACCCTCGCAGGAGTTTTTTTTCGAGTTCGCGAAAGTAACATGTTTTTCGCGAAAGTTTCGTGAAAGTTGGATATTGTTATAATCATTATGTAAAGGGCTGCCACCCACTGCCGCCCGGGGTCCGGCAGGAGAAGGGCACTAGAGAATTTCGGCTTGTTTCTGGTTCAGTTCCCTGTGTGGTGGTGCTTATGGACAATCACACCCTTCATAGGTAGCAGCCGAGCTTCCAAAGGCGAGGCTTCGCGACAGCCAAACGCCATGGTCCTGAAGCACATCCTTGCACCTGCCGTTGTCACTGCCTAATGATGCTTTTTGAAGTCCCAAGAAACAAGCTCCAAATGCAGTAGCCAAGTTTCCAAAAGTGAGGCTTTGCGAGAGCCAAACACCAAGGCCCCTGGTGTTCGCTTTTCCTTCAATGCACCCCCTGCTGATGGCCGGGGTCTGTGAATAATAGGGATATTTTCGCGAAAGTTCCGCGCAAGTTATGCGAAAGAGCGGGCGAAAGTCAAAGTACATGTTGAAGGGTGCGGGCCAGTAAACCTTGCCAAAAAAACCTAGTCAGCAACAATCTGCCCTGAGAAGGGATTCCGTGATGCTATCAAGAAGCGATCCGTGATTCTCTGGCGTAATTTGGCAGGTGGCGAGTGAATCTTCATAAGAGGTGTTGTTGGCCAACATGGGCCCCGCGAAAGATAAACATGGAGTTCGCCAAAGTTTCGCGAAAAAAAACATTTTTATTCGCGAAGAATGGCCGTTCCCGGAAAAAGGAATTTTGATCAAAAACCACATATATATATATATGTCTTTCTTTCTTTCTTTCCTTTCTTTCTTTCTTTCTTTTCTTTCTTTCCTTTTTTGCCTATTTATTTACTTATCTGTTTTTTAATTTGTTCATTGATGTTTTTTCATTTCTTTTTATTTATTTATTTCTATCCATCCATCGGGCGGATTCGGGCGGTCCGTCCATCCATCCATCCATTTATCTATGTACATAGGCATATGCGTGTGCATGTATTTGTTGTGCATGTTTGTTGCAGCACTTTGGCAAAACTAGGCATAAAAGAGATCTTCATACCTTAAGTCCCAAGCAGTTGGCATTTGATTTCATCTCGCCCATCCGTCTACTTTCCAGCTCTTTCCAGGTATGAAGCCCCTGGCTACCAGAAAGAGCTGCTGCCCCTGAGGTACTCCTCGGCTCCTTAGCACTGACATATGGTTAAAACATGTTGAGATGATACCCGGTTTTCTCCTGACAGTAGGCGGGAAAGGCAGTTAATTTGAGATGATGCATGACGTCCTTTCTTTGTGCCGCAGTCTATTGAAAACGCAGGTGTGTCTACATATATTTGTTCTTGTTCAGCTGCTTTGGTACATGTGCCAGCTTTGAGAAGGTCGCAACCGTAATTACGACCTGCTCTCAGCGCTAAGGCTCGGTGTCTCACAGTGGTTCTTCCCATGTGGGAGGAGAAGAAGGAGACATTCGATGCGACAAGGTCAGGAACCCAACTTGTTTGATGAATGGTTTCAAATGGTTTCAATATGCTAAGCCAGCTCGTGGGTCATCAGATTCTGAGCGCGAATACTGCCGAAAACACAAAACAATTCGTGAAAGTAATTTCGCAGTTGGTGCCCGGAAGGGTTTTGTTTGAGATTTTGGTGGGAATAAATATTGACATACTTGCCGCGATTTTATCTTCATGAGTAATAGAGCTGCAATGAGGGGACTTTTTAAACCAGTCGTACCGGTAGTGTATGTTGCAACTGGATGCAATTGGTTAGTTTATATAATATTCAATCACCGCAAAAGTTGCGATGATGTTTCCAGTTTCAATGCAGGGCATGACTGGGACCCCAAGGCGAAGAGGTTCTGTGGCTGCCGGGCTGAAGCTGAGAAGTTTAAATATCTAATGGCAACACGAGGGCGCGACAAAGCTTCGTAGTGCCCCGCCCGATATGACTACATGTGGCATCATGCAAAAAGTAGACATGCATCATATTGGTTTGATGGCATTGGCATAGTGCTGCTACTGCAATGGCATTCTGAATAAGCATTATGTTGAATGCCAATGAATGCTCAATCTTGGACAAAATATGACACAAGCTCCTCCCAAATCCTACAGTGACAGTAGCAACAGTTCTTAGCTATATTCACTCAAGAGGTGACTTCACTGAGTTCACTCGGGAGTTGTGAAAGTACAGCCTCATTTGACCTCACAAGCAATCCTCGCGGAGTTTGGCGTTTGGAACCTCCAAGCCTCATAATTCATATGTTATTTATGCGATCAGGCATGCAGATAAGGGTGCGCGCTATGACTACCTGGGATGTGCCGTATTTACACTGCACTTGTTTGCAGTGATTTTGATCTGTAGGCATCAAAGTTCCAAATACTCCGCGCATTCCTGTGCCCTGAACGGGGCCTTGGTGCAGTGTCATGCAGAAACATTGACATTGACGAAGCTTCACAAAGGTTTTTTTCATTGTTTTCAAGAACTTTAACGATCTGAGTTCTGCATGCCCTGCGTTTGTGTCTAATTGTGTCCGTTCTTTGATGTCAGCCAAGCTGACAAAGGGTGGACGCGGAACCCGACACTCACAGTCGGAGCAGAAGTGAAAGAAAAGAGTGGTAAAGCCGGTGGAGCATTTGGATTGCTCATGGGAGATGTGAAGTATCATCGGCTGTAAGCCCCGTTCTTAAATGAGAGAGTCTTGGCGCCTGCACTTTTTGTGCCATTTCACTTTCTTTATCAAAGGAAGTTTAGTTAATTTAGTTAGAAAACTTCCGAGTTACGGACGATGGTCATGGACAGCATTCTCGCCATCATGTTAACCACATCATCATGTCAACCACATCATCATCAAGTAGTTGGGAAGTGCAACGACCACTTTTGGAAGGTGAGGTTGGCAAAATGTGCACGAGACTGTAGCGAGAGCTCGATTTGCACTTGAAAATGTTAAAAACGATCAGTCTCCGAGCACTTTAGGTGCTCGATTTCACATAAACTTCGTAAAAAAGACTGAAAGATGAGGTCGGCAAATTTCATTGATTGACTGATTGACTGATTGCTTGATTGGTTGATTGATTGGTTGATTGATTGATTCATTCATTCGTTCATTCGTTCATCGTTCATTCGTTCATTCGTTCATTCGTTCATTCACTCATTCACTCGTTCACCCGTTCACTCGTTCATTCATTCATTCATTCATTCATTCACTCACTCACTCATTCGTTCATTCGTTCATTCGTTCATTCGTTCATTCGTTCATTCGTTCATTCATTCATTCAGTCAGTCAGCCAGTCACTCACTCACTCAGTCACTCACTCATATTTCATTTCATTTCATTTCATGTTCAGTTTCGTTTTGTTAATTTCATGCAATTCAATTCAATTCAATTCACGTGAATTCAATTTGAGTTCAACTCAACTGAGTTCAATTCAACTCAATCATTCATCCACGTTCTTCAATGCATTAATGTCAGTTCACCTCTTTCCGGCTCACCAGCAATTCCTATGAGCAAAGTGGTTCCTATGGCTAGGATCAGGATGGCTAGGATCAGGTAGAAAGATGGCTTCCAACATGGAGGAGGCTCCCAGGCAAAATCCCCAACAGAGCCTGGAACCAGATCTAGATGCAGCAGGACCTAGCACCAAAAAAGCAAAGGCTAAACGACAGTGGAAAGTGGGGACTTTGCCAGACTCCAGGACACCAATTAGAGCTGGCACCAACGTGAAAACACCAAACAGGCCGAAAGGCGAGAAGAAGGTAGTGAGAGAGGCAGTGCAGGAAGTAGTTGACATACAGATGGAGACACTGACAGAGAAAGTGAAGGAACCACAGATGTCAATAAATGACCTCAAAGAGAAGATGCACGGCTTGAATGAGGATCAGTGGGCTTTTAGGAAACAACAACTATTGGGCACTCAAAACTCAAGTGAAAGAGCAAGGAGACAAATAGTCGAAAGAAGAATGCGTAGTTGGCTGGCCATCAGATGCTACAGCATCGCAGAGAGCTTCCTTCCTTACATGGCGTATTCAAAGTGCAGGAATAGAAGCAGGTGGTTATTATATGTCCCACGCGACCAGGCCTGGAGAATTATCCCCAATGTCAGTCGTCACACTCCCGCAGTCATGGACGAGAACTCAGTTGGACAAATGGATACAAATGGTACAAAGACAACTACGCCACGCCAAAGACCGGTCTGCACTTCTACAAACCACAGGTGGTACTGTGGGACAGAATGCAAGGAGGGCCCCTGAAAATTTGCATGAAAGCTACGGACCTTGCAGTGGACAATGGCACGTTGCAACTGGACATGTCCAAACTAAAACCATGGTGGCGACACATTATCGTTTATGATGAGTTCTACACGTACTCTTGGGCGCACTTTAGTGTGAAAGACGTTCTCGCCACTGCGACAGCAAACGCGATGCGAAAGAGCCTGTTTCACTTTTTCAAACAACCACAACAAGGAGGAAAGCAACGCCAAGCAGTCAAACTGAAATACAATCAACCTCTTATCCTCTTAGAGTTGCCACGCTAAACGTTAGGGGTGTGGTCGGGGAAAATGCTTATCTGAAAAAATAAATGCTTTCTTTTCGAAGGATCGAAGGAAATTTAGAAGTCAAACTTCTGACAATATGGACAGATGAAAAGCAGAGATGGGAAGAGTCAGAGAAGAGAAGAGAAGAAGAAAGAGAAAGTCTCAGAAGAAAGAAGATCCAGGTGCGCGAAAAGGTAGGAAGTCGCGAAACACTGTGTTTTTCCAATGATTTGTGGCTCCGGAGGGTCGAAAAGTAGGCTCGCTAAAGCGGCGGGTGCGGAGCCAGCTGGCCAGACGAGAGATGAAAAATTGCACGCCGTTGCGGCGCGAAGCACATTTGCAAGTGAAAAAGCTAAAAACACCTCACGTTCGGAGCACTTGTTCGAAGTTGCGATGTCGAAAAAGTGCACGCCGTTGTGGCGCGAAGCACATTTCGAAGTCAAAATGTACAGAGCACACCAGGTTCGGACCACTTTTGGAAGTTGAGATGTCGAAAAAGTGCACGCCGTTGTGGCGTGAAGCACATTTCGAAGTCAAAAGTGCAAAAACCTGAGGGGTTCGGGGCACTTTTGGACGTTCAGATGTCGTTTTGCGTGGCAGGCGCAAGGGATTGTGCACGTTGTCAAAAGTGAGCAAAGCGTGAGGGTTTTGTAGCATTTCCAAACACGATGGCAGGCGTGGGACATTTGAAGAGGATCTGCAAAGATGCATGTTCCGTGGCAGACGGAGTACAAGAGACATGTTCATCAGAGCTGTTAGGAGGTCCAGGCGCTGATTTCCTGAGAGGGTTGCATTTTGGAGCATCAGATCTTCAGGTTTGCTGAGATGATTTTGCGTGACAGGTGCAGCAGTTCGTATGACCTGGCATCACTTTTTCGTGGCAGGCGCAGTACTTTAGACAGGTGGAGTGGAAAAAACGCAAAACGCATTGGTACGAGGCCATCAGCTCTGCACTCTTGAAGGAGGTCTCGCAGAATTGCTTCGTTTTTGATGTTGTCAACTAAAAATTGAGGAAGTCTCGCTGAATTGCTTCGTTTTTGATGTTGTCAAGTTCAAAACCTGAGGAAGTCTCGCAGAATAGCTTCGTTTTCAAGCATGCAGATAGACAGACAGACAGAACAGAGAGACAGACAGACAGACAGAACAGACAGACAGAACAGACAGGCAGAACAGACAGACCGAACAGACAGACCGAACAGACAGACTGAACAGACAGACCGAACAGACAGACCGAAACAGACAGAACAGACAGACAGACCAGACAGACCAGACAGACAGACCAGACAGACAGACCAGACAGACAGACCAGACAGACAGACCAGACAGACAGACCAGACAGACAGACCAGACAGACAGAACAGACAGACAGAACAGACAGACAGACCAGACAGACAGACCAGACAGACAGACAAGACAGAGAGACAAGACAGACAGACAAGACAGACAAAACAAACAGACAAGGCAGGCAGACAAGACAGACAGACAAGACAGACAGACAAAACAGACAGACAAGACAGACAGACAAGACAGACAGACCAGACAGACAGGCAAGACAGACAGACAAGACAGACAGACAAGACAGACAGACAAGACAGACAGACAAGACAGACAGACAAGACAGACAGACAAGACAGACAGACAAGACAGACAGACAAGACGGACAGACAGGACGGACAGACAGGACAGACAGACAGGACAGACAGGACAGACAGGACAGACAGGACAGACAGGACAGACAGGACAGACAGGACAGACAGGACAGACAGGACAGACAGACAGACAGGTGCCGTTTGTGAGCCTCGGCGGCTGGAAGACAGCTATAGACAGACAGACAGACAGACAGGACAGACAGACAGACAGGACAGACAGGACAGACAGACAGACAGACATACATATATACATACATACATACATACATACATACATACATACATACATACATACATACATACATACATACATACATACATACATACATACATACATACATTACATACATACATACATACATACATACATACATACATACATACATACATACATACATACATACATACATACATACATACATACATACATACATACATACATTACATACATACACATATATATATCATACGAGAAAGGAGTAATTTTGAACCATGCGCAATTGCCCATGGAACCTTTTTTGCTTTCCCATTGCCAAGTTGGGCTCCTCTTCGCGGTCGAAAAATCTCGTGATGTAGCCAGAATAGCTGCTGGCGTAGGGCCCGAGGATTCCCAGCGCCTTCCTTGGTTCTTTGATTCGTGACGACATCCTCATGGGTAGGCTATGGGTTAACATTGGGGACCCCCAAAAAAAAATGGATGGGTACTATTACACATGAC